TCTCCGAATAAGCGGTAGACTTTGACATATTCATTATTAAGTTTATTTGCAAATGTCACGTGGGTTGACAGCTCACACGCAAGGTAGGCAGAGTTTATTATGGGTACTAGAAAATTTATAGAAATACTTAAATACATTTTTTCCTGGAAATCATACCATGTTTGCACCGTAAGATAAATTCCTAGGGTAAATCACCATCTAGTCCCAAACTAAGCAGAGCTTATGGGTACTAGAAAACTGATATAAATACATAGATTTTTTAAAGAAATCACAGAATAACTGTCACTTTAGAGTTAGGGAGTGAAATATCGAGCTCCTAAAATATAAGGTATTCCTAAAGAATTAAGAATCTTTGGTCTTTGAAAAGGTTAATGAAAATTAATTTCATACTAGCGGACCCCTTAACTGACATTAACTGACCCCTATTTTTTTATTTTTTGTTGGAAGGTTTGGGCTATTGACAGGTGCTTGAACCTGTACCACTGTGACCTAAATATTATATCACCCGTCGCCGCTAACGGTTTACGCTGGCGGGCCACCAGTGGAGGATGATAAGATGTCATGGTCAGGTCAGTTAGCCCACGTGAATTCACCAAAAATTTAACACGATACTTGCTAGTAATGAGGGGTTATTATTCCATATTATTAACAATTCCCTTACCCTCTACATAGATCTATTGTGCTCGCCCTTTTTCAAAGTTCGCTACCTAGACCCGTCAGGGACAAGAATTGAAGGATATTGTTAGGAGCGATGGTTTATCTCCTCAGGATATTGTGTGACCCCTAAACTTAGACGTTAGCGAAAACGCGCAAAAAACGTGCATATCTTTACCTGTTTAAAAACGCGTGCGTCGTGACAACTAAGATCCTGTATTTTAAGAAGACACTCACATCCTTTTCTGTCTTATGCAGTGTGACAGGGATGGCACTATATCCAGCTTTGGCACATTACTCTCCATACCAGCATCTGGCGTTTCAACCAAGACAAGGTCAATAGTTTGATATAAATATACGATGTGACGTAGCGAGTTGAATGAACCAACTACCGGTTGGGTTTGTCACAAATATTTGTCATACGGCATTTGTTAATTAGCGACGCTCACACCGAAATGCATTTCCATGGCGCAGTCAATACTGGGTTATATCGGATCAGCGATGTATTAATTAAAAATAACAACTCGACGGACTATCCAGACAACGCCTATATACAATCTATTTCCAAGCTAAGCAGAGCTTGTGTTATGAATGAATGAATGAAAAACTCCTTATAGTTCCTCTCACAGAAAGAAAATAACAATTACATAAATTAATATGTACACCAAATATAGAAAAAAACAACAATTACAATATAGAAGTAACAATGGGCGGCCTTATCGCTAAATAGCGATTTCTTCCAAGCAACCTTATGCACAATTTACACTCAGCCCGAGTGGGCAGGGAAGTGAGCAGCGCGAGAGTGTAAACACGAGTGGAAAGACTTCCCATGCCATTGGCGCTGCCACTCGATTGTCGGTTTTTCGTGCGTGAGTCAAAGGACTGGCAGCGCGAGTGGCAGCGTGTTTTTACATTCAGCCCTCTCGCTCAGTTGTCGCCCGGCAATATTTCCGGCAGCGCGAGTGACAGGCGAAGCGGCTGAATGTAAACGTAGCATAAAGATGCAGAGGAGTGATTAGTCTGCGTCTGGTCGAGGCATAAGAATTAGTTATTGCAAGTATTATTAAATAAACACAAATAACATATTACACACGTACAACTACATAATGTACATAGAAATACGTAAATACTTTTATATACATAACTAGCTGTTCCCGCGATTTCGTCTGCGTGGAATTTAACTTTTTTCTTCTAAAATAAAAGTAGCCTAAGTTACTCCTTATTACATCAGCTAACTGCCAAAAAAAGTCCCATCAAAATCGGTCTAGCCATTTCAGAGATTAGCCGGAACAAACAGACAGACAGACAAAAATTGTAAAAAGTGCTCTTGGTGTATGTACCGTATTTATATTCATATGCATGTAGTAAAAAACGGTTATTTCAATATTACAAACAGACACTCCAATTTTATTTATATGTATAGATAATAATATCACTGAACAATTAACACAGTGCCATCTAGTCCCAAGCTAAGCAGAGCTTGTGTTATGGGTACTAGACTACTGATAAAATATATAACAATGTAATATAATATATATATGTTTTCTTATAAATACATACATAATAGGCATAATATAAAAGCAATCATAGTTATGAATATAAATGTTCGAACCGTGCGAATCGAACCCGCGACTATCAGAAGTGAAGTGTGCTAAACCCGCTATACCACAGGCCGTCAAATCGTGACGGTACATTATTATTCTATTATTAAAATAATAGTTTTAAAGTAAAACTTTATAATTTTCTCATCGAAATCTCCGTAACGGCGCGGTTTTGGACAATTTACGATTATTTTCTATTCCAAGGTCCAAGTAACACGCGTACGCACGTAACACGCGTTCAACGTCACACACCGTAAAAATTATAATTACAAACTAAGAATAAACAGAAAATTAGTCAGTAGTCTCTGTACATCATATTTAGGGGTTGGTCTCAGTTACGAGCTGTCGCGGTTTAAACTTTTCAATATTCAACGCTCAAGAAATTTGAATATTAAATGATTTCAAATTTGGAACAGTGTTTTTGTTACTTATTTATTCTTTTGCACACAAATATATATATTATATATTTCAAAACGGGAAAAAAACTCTTTTTTTAAATTACACATTTCAAATAACATATCTCTTTTTTTAAATAATTATTATAAAACAAAAACAAAAATAGATTAAACTATAATAAATATGCATTTAATATCATAGAATATATGTCCAGATAGTAGTTTTAGCTATATATAAACTATACTTCAGATAGTAGTTTAGCTAAATACTTTCGAATAATGTTCACGCAAAGATTTCTTCGAGGTGAATTTGGTTTGATATCTTCTGAGACTGTTGTTGTTTCTATGTGTCTGTTTTGTTATCTTTTTATATCATAATCATAATTACACCCTACAACCTCACAAGGTCAACCGATTATGAAAATCCTTTTGGTGTTCATAGCCCAGTTATCTAGGAATGTTATAGGATATATAGCGTCATGCTACGACACATTGCAAAAAGAGGAAGTTGTGCAGCTAGTTTATAATAATACTATGAACATTTCAGGCGTCTATAGTCTACGGCTCACTGTAGTAACCAATTGATGGTAAACATCAAATGTGCTGTATGCTTGATTGCCAGCATAGCTGTATAAAAAAAGAAGAATCATTATTCAAATAAACTTAATATAATCCCTTTTTAATAGTCACATTTTTTTAAGTTACCATTCATTCGGAACGCAGTCTCATCACAAGAAACTTGTGTGTTGCTCTTTTATATAATGTAAACATTCAAACTTCAAAATTATTTATTTAGCTAACACAATTTTTACTACATTCTATATAGTTGTTGCAGACTTCTTTTAAGCTTAAAAATGTCTGTGCCAGGAGGCTCCACTCTTCTATATAACTTTTGTAAAATGTTTCTAATTCATTATAGTCTAGCTGTTCCCGTGACTTCGTCCGCGTGAAATATAACTTTTTTTTTCTAAAATAAAAGTAGCGTAAGTTACTACTTATTACATCAGCTACCTGCTAAAAAACGTCCCGTCAAATTCGGTCCAACCATTGCAGAGATTAGCCGTAACAAACAGATAGACAGACAAAAATTGTAAAAAATGTTATTTTGGTGTATATACCGTATTTATATTCATATGCATGTAGTAAAAACGGTTATTTCAATATTACAAATAGACACACTAATTTTATTGATGTGTAGATATTCCGCTCAAATCTAGTGGCTTGTGCCGCGTCTCACTGCTCCAGATACTGACAGTGCAGTTTCACTGAAATGAAAGTGATCTGATGAAGTCTCCACGCTCGAGAGTGCGCATACCGCGGCATTCCGACTGTCTTACGGAAATCAGTTTTTGTCAGCCTCCTCTCGATGCTCGATGGAATTTCTTAATTGCTGCGATCTTATTGCAGTCTTTAATATGACTGGGTGTACCGTGATGGGAACATTTCATTTGGTTCTAGACTGAAAGCGAATTGAACATTTACTATAGAATAAATAATTCAGAAAAAATACGTTTCGTGACAATTAAATGTGTTTAAACATAGGTCGACAAAAGTTAAAAAATAGCTAGAGTAAGAAACTTTTACTTACTACTTACTACCTACGTTCTACTTACGTTTACAAAAGGGATGCAATCATTTTATGAATATTTTCTATGCATCACCTACATTTGTATTAATTTGTTTACTAATAAAATAACAGATAAATAGAAATTTCATTTATTGTTATCATTTGATTTATCATCAAAATAATAATATAATATATAATCTCAAGACAATTCACACAGCGCCATCTAGTCCCAAGTTAAGCCAGCTAAAGCTTGTGTTACGGGTACTAGATAACTAATACAAGTACATAGATATTTTTTTTCGTAAATACATACATATTATACATAGAAAACACCCAGACCGTTACAAACAATCATACTCATGAATACAAATGTTTGTGCCGTGCAAGGAATCGAACCCGCGACCATCGGACGCTAAGCGGTGTCCTAGACCGCGAGACCATCGAGGTCGTCAAAATATGGCGTCTCCAAATATACGCGCTCATGAAGTTGCACCAGTAGTTACATAATAAATATTCTGTGGTTAGATTCTTTCTGTGGTTACGGCTTCTTGAACCATGCCATTTTGCACGTTCTGCATTATTATGCCACTTAATCAGACAGTATCGGTTACTGCAGCTCTTACCTTTTTACGTAGTAAAACCTCAACAAACCTTCTTTATAACTGTCGGCGGGAGTTGAAGGATCAACCATACGGTCATTGGTCGGCACCACTTGTATTTTTTCTTTTACATTCACAACTGGCCATAAACAAGTTACATAAAAAAATAAACAGGAAACGTCAAAAGAGACAGCTTTGTTGATATCAAAGGCAAAGATTTTGGAATAGCTATTCCAAAATCTTTGATCTAAAGCATCAAAAATAAACAATAGAGTATATGCAATAACATGAGTAGAGGAAACCATTATGATGGATAGCGACTGCAAAACGCATATAGAAGGTCCATACAAGTCCTTGCAGGATCACATAAACAAACTGACAGAGAACCAGAACAGTATTGTAAAGAAATTTGACGTGTTAACAAATAATGTCGATGAATTGAGGAAGATTATCACGCAGTTTTCCGAGAAGGTTGTAGCATTGGAGGAGGTGGCAACTGATAGAAGACGGTTGAAGACCGAAATAAAGGTGTTGAAGAACAGAATAGACGAATTGTACGCTATAGTGAAGGAAGGTAAAGAGGATGACTCGTGTGCAAGCGACGTGCAGGAGGTGGAGTCTTGTCATTCAGGATTTTCTTCGTCATCCAAGGTACATTTGGTTTTAACATTTCGTCTAAGAATTAATCAGGGAGATTAATTTAAATTAACATTCAAAACACGTGTATTACAGACTCTTATGACATGTCAAATTTACCGTCAGTTCGGAGTGATTTTGAGAAGAGAAGAACTCAAGAAACTCAACTCGTATTCTTTTCAAATAAATGTTGTACATGTTTATAATAATACAGATTCATTTTTAAATTCAATTTTGGGAGAATATTATAATATCGATAATCTTATGTCCATTATAGAAGGATATAGGATGATCGATATTTGTAACATTAAACTCAAATTCAAAATTGTTTATTCATATAGGACTAGTATCTGTATATAGTCGTAATTTGTGTATATAACTATTTCGCCCGTTTATGCACTTAACAATTCGTACAGTGCAATTTGGCTAGCTAAAGGTGTATTAAGGTTTCTTAAGAGTCGTCAATGCGCACGTGATACTCCTGGTGTTTCAGGCGTCCATAGGCTACGGTAACCGTTTAAAATCAGATGGGTGGCATGCTTGTTGGTGCAGTATATCAGCTTCTTCCACCGGTTCCTATTAGCCGTCATTTCGCTAGTCTTATTGGTCAACTTCCTTACTCTCTTATTGGTCAACCGCCTGCTGGCAACCTATTAAGCATTGGTACCATTGTACCTTGGATGTTAATAGAATTTTGTAGTATAGTCTTTTTAAAATGGTACATTTTTATTGGTCAATGTTTTTACTGTATATATGACTATAAATGTTATTATTAATTATAATAATCTTTATTTAAACCACAGGGTATTAGGCGTGATACCATATTCTCACGTGTCTGAATACGAGGCTTTACTTAATCCGAATTCCAGTTTATATTTATTTGACGGTCTCGGTGGTATAGCTGCTAAACAGCTAGAGACACTGCTTTACTTTCGATGGTCGCGGGCTCGATCCCTCGCACGTTACAGTTTGTATTCATAAGTATGATTGTTTGTATCGGTTCGAAATTTTTTATGTATATTATGTATGTATTTACAAAAGAAAACTTTCTATTTACATCAATTGTCTAGTACGCATAACACAAGCTCTGCTTAACTTGGACGCAGGCGCTGTGTGAATTGCACTGAGATGTTATTATATTGTAATATAATAATGTTTAATTGGGATTTATTTACTAAAAACATTATCTCTTTGTTTACAGGTAACCATGACGACCGGTTTAGATCGGGATACGATTCGCTCCGCGTATGAAGACGTGCGATCGGACGCTAGCCCTACGGAATGGTAAGACTCTATCTATACTATCGAAATTAAACTATCTACACCATATATGTTATACGTATCGGCATATTTCTTTAAGTTATATTCCTAATATTATAATGGCGAAAGTTTGTGAGTATGAATGTATAGATGGATATATGTTTCTTACTCTTTCACGCAAAAACTACGGAATGGATTTTGGTGAAACTTTATAGTTCAATATATAAAGATTTTAGCATATGTCATTTTTACTATACCTACGAATAGGTAACTAGTTTTGCTCGCAGTTTCACTCGCTTGAAAATAATTGCGTTATTCTGATGTATAAGCTATATTATTGTAAAGTTCACGGTGTGCTTTGGGGTCGTTGACATTATCGGGGTGGACGATGTTGTGTTGATGTGATAGCATTGTAAAGAAGGAGCGGGAGAAAACATAGGGATTTTTCCTGACTTTATAGTATAGTCGGGGTGAATAAGAACCTGTCTCAGACGGCTTGTCAGATAGTGGACCATACTGATGTATAATGGAAGAATTCGAGTGTGATTGGGCGGAATTGAAGTAGCATCAAAACGCTGAAGAATTGCATGAAGAAACTATATGTATACTGGTATTTACCTTTACATTCTGAAATATATAGGGCGGTGTTCAAGTTCGACGGTGCCCGGATCGTGTGTTCAGCGCGCGGCAGTGACTTCACAGAATTCCGTACACAGTTCTCCGACGACGACCGCGCCTTCGGTTACCTCAGGTGATACTTTGTCTCTTTTAAACTTGCTAGCTTATAAATATTCTGTCTCTTGTCAACATAAGGGCTAGAGCAGACGATGAAATTTTGACTAAGTATATTTTTTTTATTAATGATTATGAGATGGTGTAGTGGATATGGTGCCTGCGCTAACGGTATACGTTTGACGTTCATAAGCGTCTTCAATGACCTACATGAATAAAATATTTTTTACTAGGTTTAACATTACTAAAGGGGAGACGGGGATTGTTAGTAATGTGGACTGTTGACCCCATTGCTAGCCATGTACCATGTCAGGTTGACCTCCACGCGGTTCCCCCTGGAAACCATCGTGATAAATTCTTGGTGAATTTGTCACGATGGGCTAACTGACCTGACCTCATGCTCATCTTATCATCCTCCACTGGTGCCCCGCCAGCGTAAACCGTTAGCGCAGGCGGGTGAACCATTCCATTATCATCCATAAAAAAAACACTCCCCAGATCATCAAGAACGTCCTAGAATCCTAGATCATCAAGGTCATTGTGGTCGCCCTAGATCAAGACAATGTACCCGAGATGACATAATCATTGCACGGCTATCACCGCAATTTTGGAACAATTCCAAAATATCATAGGAATATGATACGCACAACTATCGAACTGGGGCGAACTAAAATAAATACCAGTTTAATGAAAATTTTCATTCACAATAAAGCTTCCAAGAGCTAATTATTTAATTGGAATAGCAAACAAGCTGATGGTACACCTGATGGTAATAGCAACAAAAGCCCATTGCACTACGGAAATGACGTCATCGTGTGACGCCCGTGGAACCTCTGAAGCGTTGCCATTCTGTTTATTTGTATATTAGTTTAGTCATACATTTGTTTATGACATACATATTTTGTTATCCCATGCAATAAGTTATATAATAAGGTTTTTTCATCTTTAGATTGATACATAGATATTTAATTTATTGCCAACATAACACAAATATTATAATTTACAAATAATACACAAAATAAAACATAACATAGAAAGATGTCAATGGGAGCTGCCTCAGCTATTTCTGGTATAAGCACAACCTCAATGAGGTGCACCTATACAGCGCTAGTTTTCAGGCAGCGCCCATTACTCATTAAAAAAACTAACATGCGGGTATTTTTACTATATACACATAAATTTTTTACTATATATCATACATTTATATCACACATATAAATGTATGATAATTAAGACAACAAAAAATATTAAAAATGGGACCTGGGATATATTCACAAAAATTAATAAATTGTATTATAATATTCAATGCTCATAAAAACCAGATCAGTTACAATAACAGTATCAAAGGGAAATATTACTTTATTTTACCTATTGTTAGTCAGGTCAGTCAGTTAGGTCCACTTGATAAATGGCAATTTACCAAGATACTATTTGCGATTGCTAGCAATGTACCTACCATGTCAGGTTAACTTTCGCGCGGATCCCCCTGGAAACAATCGTGGTTAATTCCTAGTGAATTCGTCACAATGGGCTGACCTCATGCTCATCTTATCATCCTCCACTGATGCCCCGCCAGCGTATACCGTTAGCGCAGGCGGATGCGCCATTCCATTATCATCCATAAAAAAATGACATTATTAGTCGACATTACTAACAATCCCCATCCTCCTAAAATGGGGTTATCAGTCTACATTACTAACAATCCCCATCCCCCTAAAATGGGGTTATCAGTCTACATACTAACAAATCCCTTCTGTCCATATGCAGGTTACAAATGGGTGACGAGATGTCAAAACGGAAGAAGTTCATGTTCGTGACGTGGGTGGGGCCCAACGTGTCTGTCATCAACCGAGCCAAGATGTCCACAGACAAAGCGATAATCAAAGACATCATATCCGTAAGTAAAGATTACATCAAATATTTTTACAGCCTCGGTGGTCTATTATATGAAAATATAACGTGGTGGTTATCTCACTCAAACCAGATGGCGTTGTAGTCACTGAAATCTGCTTTAGCGGGACAAGATGGTGAACTGTTGCCGTTGGCGGTAACTGGTAGAAATTTTAAATAATTTATTTGCTAGAACATTTACAGTACAGACGTGTTAGGTACAAGTGTTCACTTCATTCAGGAGGCATGCAAATTATAATTCTTTGTCATTTATCATGACGACTGGATCGGTGGTCTAGCGGTCTAGCACACCGCTTTACGTCCGATGGTCGCGGGTTCGATTGCTCGCACGTTGCAAACATTTGTATGATTGTTCATATCGGTCTGGGTGTTTTCTACGTATGTAAGTATTTATATCAGTTATCTAGTTACCCATAACACAAACTGTAAGTAGTTTGTGTTATGGGTAAGTTCGGTAGTATGGTATCGTAAGTTGATTCATTTATCTGGCAGATTTAGGATGTACTCTGGCAGTTGTAAACCTTACGCAATTCCCATAAAACGAATCAGTAACTTTAGTTAACGGCATTCAGGTAATTGCTAACTTTTTTGAAACTCTTATTTAATACAAAATGTATACGTATAATTTAATAATTATATTTCTAGTACAGTTCGTGTGAACATTACTAAAACTAACATAATTACTGAAACTAGACGTACCAACAATACCGACTTTACCATACAAAATGGGCACATAAAACGAATCAGTAACTTTAGTTAAACGGCATTCCCTTTTTTTGAAACTCTTATTTAATACAAAATGTATGGGGCCCCCAAAGGACTGACAATTTTTCTCACACATTTATTCTCAAAAGTTTTTTTTCACCTTTTCTTATACCTAATGAGCTTTTTTTTTACTTTTTACCATAAGGGCACACGGGGCCCGTGCCCGGGGCCCCCAAAGGACTGACAATTTTTCTCACACATTTATTTTCACAAGATTTGTTTACACCTTTTCTTATACCTAATGAGCTTTTTTTTTGCTTTACAAAAGGGCCCCGAAATCGTGTGTCCCCAAGGGCCCCAGCCTAGTTTAAGACGGCGGTGCGTACCAAATATGGATAGAAGTCCCTAAATTAATAAAGAAATGAAAAAACAACTACCATTCTTATATACATACTAGCTGTTCCCGCGACTTCGTCCCTGTGGAATGTAACTTTACTTTTCTAAAATAAAAGTAGCCCAAGTTACTCCTTATTACATCGGCTACCTACCAAAAAATGTCCCATCAAAATCGGTCCAGCCATTTCAGAGATTAACGGGAACAAACATACAGACAGACAAAAATTGTAAAAAATGCTATTTTGGTGTATGTACCGTATTCATATTCATATGCATGTAGTAAATAACGTTTATTTCAATATTACAAACAGACACTCCAATTTTATTTACATGTATAGATATATGAATGGTAAGAATTATCAGGTAGGCCGTAAGCTTACTGTCTATTAAAATGATTGGCTCACACTACTATAATTGTATTTCACATTGTTGATTTCGTACTAGATTTTTTTTATCATCGTAACCAATGTGATATTTTCTCATAAATACCTTATTGTTCATTGTGACTGCTACGAGCTTTGTTAGAGGTACGACCCAATGTCTTTGGATCACACATGAGTGACCCAGAGTGGGTCGTATCTGAGGCGGGTCCATAGGTACGTCTGCTTTTATTACTCACTAGCTGCACCCGCGACTTCCTCCGCGTGGAAATTAACTATTTTTCTAAAATAAAAGTAGCCTAAGTTACTCCTTATTACATCAACCTACCAATAGAAGTCCCGTCAAAATCGGTCCAGCAGTTTCAGAGATTAGCCGGAACAAACAGATAGACAGACAAAAATTGAAAAAAATGTTATTTTGGTGTATGTATCGTATTTATATTCATATGCATGTAGTAAAAAACGGTTATTTCAATATTACAAATAGACACTTCAATTTTATTTATATGTATAGTTTTTGTGTAAATTTTGAATGTCCTTTTTTTATAGTTTTAGAATTGTCACATATATCTTTGCGTTGTTACCTACTATACATTTACTTGCGTACGTATTTACCGTTTTATATCCGTTGTTTCATTAATCTCACACATTCAGGTCATCCATTCTATCACCCACATTTTCGATCGCACAAACATATTATAAATCTACCTTATACTAGCTAAGGCAATAAAATAATATTGCGACTATAAATTGAGATGTAAGCTATCCTATCTATCAAGTTGGATCAAATTGTGCACAATGTGCAAATCAAATTTGAAGTCGGTTCAGTTTCGGAGACAATCGCAGGCAAACAACGTGACACGTAATTTTTATATATAAAGATATTGGTGTAGCTTTTAAAATTGCAATAAAGAAAATTTGCAATCGGTTCTGTAGTTTCGGAGACAATCGCAGGCAAACAACGTGACACGTAATTTTTATATATAAAGATATTTATATTAATGTAGTTTTTAAAATTGCAATAAAGAAAGTTTTTTGTGTTTAAATGTTTGAAACGTTTGAAAAATGAAAGTAAATTTTTGCAATACATTAATTTACTTCCCGTGTTAGATTATTATAAATTTTGTAATGTCACTGTTTTTTTACTGCCAAAAAGTAGTTCGAATAAAACTTCATATATTTTTTCGTGTTTGTATACCTACTTGAGTCTAGAAAAAATTACATTTTTGCAATACATATATATAACTTCCCGTGTTAGATTGTTTGTAATATGTAACGTCACTGTTTTTTTTTATGATATGAATAAACTACGGTACATACAAAAATTCATATACTAAAGTGTCCTCGGTTTAGAGAAACTTGAAGTTCTGCCATCGGACCGTCATCAAGGTATCTATATCTATACTTTATATAGAAAAATAAAAATTTCCACGCAGAGTGTCTGCGAGAAATAGTTGAATATAATCGACTCTTTAGTTTACATGCATATGAATATAAATACGAATAACATACACCAATTATTTTAAAACACTTTAGATTTTTGTGTGTCTAACGTCTTTGTTTATTCCGCCTAATCTCTGAAATGACTGGCCCAGTTTTTTTTGACGAACAACTTTTATTGGTAAGGTAACAAATGACTCTTTGTTTTTTTTAATAACGAACGAACTTAGTTTTTTATTATAGAAAAATCCTTAGTTTTTTCACGGTTAACGAAGTCTTTAGTTTTTTTAGTTTAACGAACGACTCTTTAGTTTTTTTAATATAAACGACTCTTTAGTTTTTTAGTTGTAAATTAGTAACGAATAAAATTTAAGTCATCAATTATTTTAACGAACGACTCTTTAGATTTTTTTGTAAGGTCGTAACGAACAACTCTTTAGTTTTTTTAGTTTAACGAAGTTAGTTTTTTTAGTTTAACGAACGACTCTTTAGTTTTTTAGTTGTAAGTTAGTAAGGAACGACTCTTTAGTTTTTTAGTTGTAAGTTAGTAACGAACGACTCTTTAGTTTTTTAGTTGTAAGTTAGTAACGAACGACTCTTTAGTTTTTTAGCTGTAAGTTAGTAACGAACGACTCCTTAGTTTTTTAGTTATAAGTTAGTAACGAATAAAATAATCTACTCTAATAGGTTTTTTTTATTCCTCCCACGACCAATTCGTTGTTTATTTATGAGGTACATAAAAATGAAATTTATCGCTTGTCGAAATTTAGTAACGTAGTGCTATTATTAACTAGATGCGCCCGCGGTTTCACCCGCATCAAATTTATAGCCTCTCTTATTCAGATCAGCCTGTCAAATTCAATATTATAAACGTGGAAGGCATGTTTGCATCCTCTGAGGATAACCGAATGGGAATGAAGGTAGTCCATTGAGAATCACAATGCATTCCAGGGACCACGTGGAATCCGACCTATCATGGTGCATAGAAGTGAGCCACTTGTTTCTATTATTAACAATACCCTCCTTTGTCACATTCAAATCATAGAAATCACAAAAAATTATATCTCTTATATATAAAATTCTCGTGTCACAGTTTTCGTTCCCATACTACTCCGAAACGGCTTGACCGATTCTCATGAAATTTTGTGAGCGTATTGAGTAGTCTGAGAATCGGCCAACATCTATTTTTCATCCCCCTAAATGTTAGGGGTAGTCCACCCCTAAATTTTTTTTTATTTTAAGGCAAAACAACGTTTGCCGGGACAGCTAGTAATATATAAAATTTGATCATTATTATATAAGATCTGCTCTAAGTAAATACCAATATTTTGTAAGTAAACATTCATTTCATGTAAGAAATCATAATCATCATTACATAGTATAAAACAAAGTCGCGGTCGCTGTCTGTCCGTCCCTATGTATGCTTATATATTTAGAATTACGCAACGGATTTCGATGCGGTTTTTTTAATAGATAGAGTAATTCTAGAGGAAGGTTTATATATATAATACATGTACATCTGTGCGCAGCCGGGGCGAGTAGCTCGTACTTGTATAAAAAAAATGTGTCTGTATTTGTGACTTTTATGAATACCAATATTAATAATACCCAATGTAATATTAATTAGAAATTCTAGCCATAATACCCAATCAGAAAAATATAATATATAAAAATTTAGTTTCAGCGTTTGCTATAAAAATACTATGAAAGAGCTTGACTGATTTATTATTAGAAATTCTAGCCATAGTACCCAATCAGAAAAATATAATAAATAAAAATTTGGTTTCAGTGTTTGCTATAAAAATACTATGAAGGCACTACTCATGAATATCCAAACACATACGCATACACTTTGCAAGTAAATAATAAGCTTGGGTTAATACCTTATTTAATTGTCTTTTTATAAATTGTAATTCTCACCTTTGTGAATTGTAAGAGGGAACTGGTACCTAAAATACAAGTTTCTGCTTAGTTTAGGTACCAGGGAACAATTTAAATTGTAAATATTGGATGCAAAATAAAAATTATTATTATTATTATTAATATCAGGCCATTATCTTATGTATATTTGTCAGGTCTGAAAATAGTGACAAAGGGTAGCCAAGGGTAGCCTTTGTCAGAAAAATATTGGTCTGGTCTACCAGTAAAACTACATTTTATGCATAAATTATTATAATACGAAGACACAAATTATTACAATAAATAAAAGAGCATTATCATTCCCAAATCTGTTCAAAAACATAATAAGCGTCATATGAAATCATATAAATATTTTCTGACACTGAACCCAACTGTTTGAGCCACAGCCGATATGAAATCATAACCAACTATACATTTGTACTTTGAAACGTCCAAGTCCATCTCTTTACTGCCTGCAATCAGTTTTAGTTCTACCAACGTCGCAATCTGAGCTAGCAAGTTGCTCGTCAGACCGATCTTGTCCTGTAATATTGCATAGAATATAGCTAGCAAACGATCCAGTGTAAACACTTTAGGTCCGAGTTGTGTATTCAGTTTTTCACTTATTTTGGCTTTTGCTTTAACCTGCTGTAAACGCTTCCTTTGCTTGCCATGGTTCTTCATGAACAACCTCTTATCCTCTTTGGGGGGGTTGTAGCTAGCCAGATAAGCTGCTATTAGCAAGAACTTAGCATAATACGGCAACTCAAAACTCTGCGCAAATGTTTTTGTTGATGTGAGCTCATCTTTGAGAGTATGCTCAAAGTTATAGCTTTCTTGACATTCATAGTCAGTGTTCTCTTACCTGGAGAAGATTTTGTTACCTTTGATGAACTTATACGTAAATATAACAACTCTAAACTAGTTTTCAGTATGGGCGATATGTGTCTCCATAATTTAGATAAATCTTGAGCTTGTATTTCATGTTTAATTATAGGCTCGCAGTATTTCATGAAATCTACACGCGCCATATGCTGTAATTCAATTAAATCTCGACACGGTCTATAGAATACGCTGAGAAATGCATTCAGAAAGTTTGCGAATAACTCTGGTTTTTCAAGTTCTTCTTTTGTCGCTCCGTCTACATCATGATTGTTGAGTACATGGCGAATTAACGATTTTTGATGTAAAAATATTATTTTAAATAGCTCCTCTTTGTTGTAATTGGGAAAGTAAATCTTTATAGGCTCCCGGGCACCCATTCTGAAGTAAAAGTTATCGTAAACGAGATGCGTGATAAAAATTGTACATATATTCAAGTTACATAACTCCCGAAGTCTTAGAAATGCACACATCACGTTCTGATCCATAGTTCGGAGTCTCTCAGCTCTATCGAACACTAACACAATAGGTTTATACCGGGTAGCACTATTTCCTAGTCGATTTAATGCATTAGTGAAATCTAGCATACTGTCACATTTTACATCTAAATCGCATTCTAGTTCAGATATGATGGTTTCGTACATCAGTTTTTGTGAATAGCATTCAATACAATCAACAACAACATGTTTGTACCCCAAATATTTTATAACAGACTCTACACACAAACTTTTACCCGTTGCCATACTGCCACTTATAAACAAAGAATACGGTAACGGTTCGTCGTCATCACCGAGTAAATTGAATAAATCATGTAACTGGTTTTCTCTACAAGGCACTTTGGTGTATAATTCTTCCATATTGTATATTAAAATAAATAATATTATTAATAAGAAAGTTCTTCAAAAATATATGAACGCGAGATTGCCGGCTTTGTTACTGTCAGTCAAATTTCATGCATTAGATTGATATTGTTTTCAGTTTTACGACTGACAGCTTACTGAACTGACTAAGTTTGAAATGCGGTCTTGTTACGCCGAATATCAGAACGAATCATGTCGAAAAAGTCTATTTTCACTACAGCTAAAACACTACAGAAAACCGATTTAATTAAAAATTTTACGTTTCAGAATTTTGCAGTGGAGCTGCAGCTGGAGAGCCAAGCTGAAATAGACATTGATCAATTCAAAGACGCCTTGAACAGGGCAGGCGGAGCAAATTATGGTACAGGAATCAGGGATTTATGAATTACACAATAAAATAAACTTAATATAAAAATGTATCTTCTACAAACAAATATCTTTTTAATAAATTTCATTCAAGAAAATTATTTTCGCAACATTGTAGTTAGATATTTTTTATAAAATTTTGGCCATTATCGGGCCTCAAAATTTATTTTTACAATAAACTTATTTTAACATAATTTTAAATTAGTCATTTCACAACAAATTTAGTCTTATTTTTGTCATATTAAAAATTATTTATTTTTTTTAAATTCGATATCGGGGTATATTTTTTTTATATTGTAATTGTTCTAAGAGTACTCATTATATGTATATTTATTTAGCAGCATATTGTGCAATTACTTTGGTATCGTAATTTAAGATTTTTGCCAAAAATTTTAGCAAATGTTGCCATGTAGAAGGCGCGGATAAGTGCATTTATTTTTTGTCAACATGTATTTTATGACCATGTCGAAATTTTACAATGTATACAAATATTTGGATTTTATGGGCTTTTATACATTGAATAGTGTTATTACTCAGCATTATTATTGGTAAAACAACTGAAATACAATTAACCAACATATTTATAGTGTTTTTATTTCTACCTGCTTTATATAAATAAAATTAATACATTAAATTATTATACGCAAATATTCTACTAGTCTACCCACTGAATTCAATGCAATGAACTAGCTACTGTCGATATCTTTTTATGTTATGTTCCCCTGTCAGTACGACGGTTGCTGATACAATATTATTACTTGTACCTACCTACACCTATTTTTAAAAGCGACATTTCGATATAAGTTTGGCGAATTCCAAATGCATTATGTAAATATTACAAAAGTTTTGGTTACCTTAGTAATGTTCATATAAATATGAATAAATCAGTTGGGATATTTCGTGTAAGCGTTTGGGGACAATAAAATCTAAATCAGAGTTTATCAATTATTTATTCGTTTGAGTAAGACTCAAATTAATAGACGGTCTGTGGTTTAGGAGTTAAGCATACCGCATAACTTCTAATTGTAAGGGGTTCAAATCTGGCACGATATAAAGTCTCAAGTATGATTGCATTGATTTGTATGTTTTATTATGTATGGATGTATATTTTATAAACTTTACCAGTTATTTAGTAACAGCTCTACTTAGTTTAGGTGTAGATGGCGCTGTGTGAACTGTCTTGGGTCTTGGTAAGTATAGAACTGTATAAACGACTTGAATATTATATAATTAAGGGTAAATAACAATATACACAACATAATCAAATATATGGAATTGATGTGTTTCTAAACTATAAAACGCTGCTTACTTTTATGGTTGACTGGTAGAGAATGCCATTAGGTGTTAAGTTCGTTATATATAGTACTTGTGCATTAAATTTTAAATAAATAAAAAAATTAAGAATTCTTCGTACATCAAAATAATAAAAAAAAATAAAACAAAGCTTATCTAAATATAAATTTTATTCAGCAAAAACCTGTTAACGCAAAAATACATTTATTACAAAACTGTACTTATTGTGTAATTATTAATGAACATGAAATAACATGGCTTATTGATTTGGCTCTATCGAACACACTTTTAACTTATATCTAAATTATTTTGATTTATATCCTACATTCATACATATTTTTACTGTGCAAGCATATATTATATATTCTGTTCTATTAAAAAAATATCTAAAAAACAAAGTAATAAAAAAATTATAAAAAAGAATTAGTATACCGAAATATTATTAATATTAGTATGTTTAATGTAAAAAAAGAAAAACACTAGAAACATAGCTTAATTTTTTTTTTGTATAAATCAATGTAAATACATTTATAAAATATTACATAGTTAATAATGAAGTTATATAATATGTAATATAATAAACTAATTTCATTGCATTATGCAAGTAAATAATCAGATATAATGCAGTGAAAACGGATTCCTGACCTTGTAATTTTATCTTAATAATTTTGCAACATTACAGACTGGTTTTTAATACATTAACCTCAATTTTGCAATAATAATTTCCATACAGTTATAAAATATACTGCAAAATGAACATGAGTTATTTTGCAGTAATATTTTACAGCTTTATTACTGCAAAATAACTCATGTTCAATGTTTATCATCATTATTATTACATAGTATAAAACAAAGTCGCGGTCGCTGTCTGTCCGTCCCTATGTATGCTTATATCTTTAAAACTACGCAACGGATTTGAAGCGGTTTTTAATAGATAGTGATTCAAGAGGAAGGTTTATCTATATAATACATGTACACCCGTGCGAAACGGGACTAGTAGATATTATATGTTTATTAATTCTGTGCAGTTTAAATAGTTTTCTATATCTCTCTTAACATACGGTTGACAGGTGTGTAAAATGTGCTAAAGGCATCGGTGTCTCAAAAGCATTATACAAATATAACAATCACTTCATTATTCATATAATTTAACCTACTTTTTAGATTAATATAGTTAATTGGATTTTACCACGAATAGTGTGTGGTGCAATCCAGTCGAAACCTCAAGATTAAAAACATTCATTCAAATTCAAAATATGTTTATTCACGTAGGTCTATTACAGATATATGATATGTCAAATCTACCGTCAGTTCAGAATAATTTCGAGATGAGAAGAACTGACAAGAGATTGTGTTAAGACCCAATTAACTATATTAATAATGTTAATAATAATAAACGCGAAAGTTTTAAAAGAACTCGATAGATTCAGATTTAAATAGCTTTTTTTAATATAAAAGTAAATTAAAAAAAAACTCCCCAATAATTATAAATTATACAAAAAAAGCATATCATTAACTAACAATACATCTGCGTTGCAAATATTATATATATTTTAGGTTTGTATTTGCATATTTAAACATTTAAAGCATATCATTAACTAACAATACATCTGCGTTGCAAATATTATATATATTTTAGGTTTGTATTTGCATATTTAAACATTTACCCTTAAATTCGAGATGGATCTGAAAAAATAAATAAAATAATTTTAATTTGATTCGATTTTAGAATGTTTTAATTAATAAAAACATACCTTTTACTTAAATAAATGCGTGATTTATTCAAATAAACTTAATATTAAATATTTTTAATGTTATTTTTGCTGTGAAATTAATGCGGACTTTCAGACTGATTGTATGTACTATATAGTCGTATCAAAGTTCTAATACGTTACCGTACTAATAGCGTATTCAACTATTTATTGTACTTTATTGCTTTATGTGTATTTATTTTGTTGACTAACTACAAAATTAGCATTTATTACTTCATTACATAGTATAAAATAAAGTCGCTGTCGCTGTCTGTCCGTCCCTATGTATGCTTATATCTTTAAAACTACGCATTTTGAAGCAGTTTATTTAATAGATAGAGTGATTCCAGAGGAAGGGCTATATATATAATACATGTACACCCGCGAGTAGCTAGTATTCTATAATTAACAATTTTGAAGAAAGTGCCATTTATAAATGACCCTCAGATTTGCAATAATAATTTTCACACAGTTATAAAATATTACTGCAAAAATGAACATGACTTTTAAATATACATAGCGGCCGTTCAAGTATTACGTAAGCACTATGAGGATTCGAGGGGTCTCTGTTGTCCTTATTTTGGATGACATGGGCGTGGGGCAGTCTAGATGATGATTACGTCATCGGCAATTACAGTGGACCCCCGATTATCCGTCAAACGTTTTGCAGGGCAGTGTCGGACCATCGAATTTGTCGGATTATAGAGTGCTGCTTAAATGTCCTATTTAGTCCGTAATTTTTTACAACAGAGTATCTTGTAATCCGACAAATTACAGATTCAGTGATAAGATTCTATGTTATATATGTATGTATGTATATGGACTCTGTAGTCAAAAAAATATTCAATAATAAATAATAGACCATGTCGGTTTAAAAGGGGGGCCGGATAAGACAAGGGCCGGATTACCGCGGGTCCACTGTATAAACATTTTTTACGAATGGCAACCCTCACGTTATCTTGAAAAGTTTTAAAAATTGCTAAATAATGATTTTTAAATCTATCAATTTGCATTCTCTCGTGTTTGAAAATAGCTTCTTACCACATAGCTAATTTAAATTAGAAAACTAATTCCGTGCAATATGAAAATAGCTTTCGTAATGTAAATTAGGGTTTATGGACTAATTGAGAAATGGCGACAGCGGACTACACTCAGGAGTCGGCCGGCGGGGACGGCGGCGGAGGCTTGGTGGCGCTGCCTTCGCGGTTGGAGACTCCGCCTGCTGCAGGGGGGCAGAGCGCCCGCAGCAATTTGCTTTGCGTGTACTGTCCGAACAGGACGCTCAGTAGCGCCACACCGTAGCCGGTTGCTCTCTCGCCCTGTAATGTGTATACAAATAGTAACAAATTGTTCGGATTATTGAAATGAAATGAAATGAAAATGAAATGAAATGAAATTGAAATGAAATTTGAAATTGAAATGAAATTTATTTATTTGCGTATTATACAGTTCGATAATATGTCCAGGTAATAATATTATTATTATAATAATATTATAGCAACTGTTTAATTGCCCCAATTTACGGGCATGCAAATTTTGGGTATATTAAAATGGAATAATCTATAATATTATAATTTAAAATTAATGTCTTATGTACCATTCTAATTATATAGTAATAAAAAAAAAGTCAACAATCATCAGATAAATATTCTTTGATGTCATAAAAACACTTGTCCAGTAACCAGTAATATAATCGATTTTTTAATTTATTTAAGGGCATTTTCCTCAAGTCCGGTGGCAATTTATTAAAAAAATTTTGTGCCATAAATGATACAGTTTGATTTGATTTAGTTTTTAAGATTCAGTGTAGGTGCTTGGACCTGTAGCACCTACATAGATCTATTGTGCTCGGAGTTTGTTATATTACACAGTGCCAAAGGGACCTCTAGGGGCCGTTCAATTATACGTAAGTACCAGGGTGGGTTGGGGGGGAGGGGGGAGGGAGAGTGGGGGGGGGGGTTTGTTTTGCTTATTTTGGATGATATGTGGGGTAGGGGAGTCTATATGATAATTACGTCATCACTAGTTATTTAGTTTTTCACACGAATGGCAACCCTCACGTTATATATTCTATAATATACTTTACAAAGTTGCAACACCAATTTGGATACTGTGTTATGGTGTATATAAAAAAATAAATATTATATAGACATTTACACAAAAAATATATACGTATTTATATCAATTATCTAGTACCCATAACACAATATCTGTTTAGCTCGGGATTAGATGTGTATGAAATGTTGAAAATAAAAAAAAATGCATTAACATGGGTATGTTTACGTACGGAGTGCGCGGGAGCGGCCATGTCGACGTGAAGCCAATTCCCGGGGAAATCGAACCCAAGATGCGCCAGAATGAAGAGGCCGGCGCACGAGGGCTGCGCGTTATTCCGATCCTGTAACACAATATGTTTAACCTTAATATTTACTAATATTATAAATGTGAAAGTAGGTATGTTTATTACGCTTTCACGCAAAAACTACTGAGCTGATCATCATGAAATTTTATACACATGTTCTTGGAGGTATTGGAATGAATATAGGATAGTTTATATTTAAAAAACTAATATTTTTTATTCAATGCGAACGAAGCCACGGGTAAAAGCTAGTAGAATAAAATGAGGTCGGTTCTACTGTCTGTTCGCTTGGATCTTTTAAGTTGAATTGTGTCAAATTTAAGTTTATTTAAGGAGAAAAAGTAAAACTTATTTTAAAAATTACAGAAACCTATAGTCTTAATATTCGAGCTTCACTTGTTTCTACTGTCCGAGAACCCTTTCCACTGTAGCCTTTTTTTCTTTTAATTCCACCAGCTCCACGGTAAAATTGCGTTTTTTAACTTTTAGAGGCATTTTCGTATTATAACAGTGCAATCGGTGCCAGTAACGGTAGGCAGACCAACTGCCAGAGGTCTGATGACATCAGGAAGACGTCAGAACCGACCTGGACAAGACATGCCACAGACAGGCTGAAGTGGAAAATTATGCAAGAGTCATACGTCCAGTAGTGGACAAATGTATGCTGAAAGAGAAGAGAAAAATCGGTGACAGTTGTAGAAATCAGCGCTTATGCCATGTATGTAAAAAAAATTCCACCTTTTTTGCAAAAAGAAGTATTACTATGTACTATCGGAGTGGAAAGGGTTAATGTGTTATATATATATGGTGTTGGCGCAAAATGTTAGGAATATCATGGACGGAGCGCCGCACTAATGCATCTATTTTGGAACAACTGGGTATCAGAACTCGTCTATCTACTGTGTGCTTCCAGCGTCTGCTAACTTTTTTCGGCCACGTGGCCCGTCGAAAACGAGATTTTGAAAAATGTGTAATGGTAGGCCACGTGGACGGTAGAAGGGGCAAAGGTAGGGCACCTGCACGTTGGACTAATCCTGTACGAGAGGCCGTCAAACGAAATATACAGTCGGCGGCCCACTTAGCACAAGATAGAAATGCCTGGAGAGTTTTGGTTGGAAGAAGCATTCCTGGTGGTCACGACCCTCAGTCTTAAGGACAAAGAAGAAAGAAGATATATATAGAGTGGGTGTTACCGCGACGCTGTTCTTCATGTCCGCGACGGCGCTGCTGAACTCTCCGAAGTGCAGCTCGGGCGCGTACGGCAGCGCGTGCGCCAGGTCCCCGGCTCTCCGGCCAGCCGTCACAGTGGCCGCCTCCAGCCACCCGCGGTTGCACACCACGCCTGCGTGGTACTTGCCCGTCGCCGTGCCCTGACAACATACCAATGTTATTACCATCCACCAGCGTTGACCACTCATACCGCATCACCAGCTCTCACCACTCGCCACATCACCATGACCACTCATACCATCATCGTCATTACCAGTGGCCGTGCCCTGACAACACACCATTGTTATTACCATCCAGTGTTGACCACTCATTCAAATTCAACATATCTTTATTCATGTAGGTCTATTACAGACTATTATGATATGTCAATTATACCGTCAGTTCAGAATGATTTCGAGATGAGAAGAACTGACAAGAAATTCAGCTGTATTTTTTCAAATAAACGCTGTACATGTTTAATCGTGCCATCTGACTAACACTAGATGAGCGAAGTCTCCAATACTACCAATTTATTTCAGGCTACTAGGCCCATATTATAAATACCTTATAGACTAACATACGAAATCATTCATCATTGCATTGCATCCCATTATTTGGGGTCGGCGCAGTATGTCATTCTCTTCCACTGCTCTCTATCGGTCGTCATATCTGAACATAATCTTCTTTCACACAATCCATCCATCTTTTCTTAGGGCGTCCCCTCCCTTTACATCCATCCACATTCATATTATACACTTTCCATAAGACATGATCCTCGTTCCTCCGCATAACATGCCCATACCAGCTCAATCTGTTACCTAGCAAATTTTCTATAACCGGCACAAAACGAAATAATAATAAAATATAAATTCAAATTGTCTCTATGGTCATGGCACTGACGACGGCAATATGCCACTCACATTCGCGTTGTGACACGATTCCACCAGATTAATAATTTGCAGGATGATAGGATGTTTTGACCTTATAGACATCCTATCATCCTGCACTGGTGCCCCGGGAGCGTAAATCGTTAGCGCAGGCGAGTGCGCCATTACATATTCAAGATACAGGACATTATAGACTATATCTAGACTAAAAGTAACCTGACATTGAGGGTGACGAATCAGTTAGCCCATCGTGATAAATTCACCAGAATTTATTAATAAATTTATTTATTTATTCATTTGCACATAAAACAGGGCGGACTTAACGCCTGATGTCATTCTCTACCAGTCAACCGTCGCGTTGATCAGAGATAGTATAAAGGGTGCAATTTAAAATAGATTAATAATTTATCACGATGGTTTCCAGAGAAAACCGCCTGGAAGTCAACCGGACGTAATACTTTGCTAGGAATATGGTTATTAGTTCATATTACTAACAATTCCCTTACCCACAAAATACCACCGTTACTACAACCCACCCTTATCACGATCCAGCAGTGGCCATCAATCATGTCGCATCACCTGCGCTAGATCACTAGCTTAGAGAGAAGGGAATTGTTAATTTGGGCTGTTGACATCAATGCTAACCATGTTAGATGAAACTCCAAGCGCGTAAGAGGGAGCACAAAAAGTAATAATTTTTTTCTTTTATGTTTACTATAGTGTAGCGTATATCAATAATTTTCTTTCTTTCTTACCTGTGCGCCAGTGAGAGTGGCAACATCTACGATAGTGTCAGCATGGAGGTCGCGGGACGCATACACCACACCGTCGCTAAGCACCAGGCGACCTGGTTCACAAAACATTAAATAGAAATAACCTTTATTAAAATACTAACCTGATATAAACACTTTTGAATAGTCATATTTTTTTTATTATATCACTCATTCGGAATGCTTCATTACAAGAAGAAAAAGCAAGAAACTTGCGTTTTGCTAAATAAAATAATAATAAAAGTTATTCAGAATTACATTCTATTATATACAGTTTAATATAATACTGACTGTTACTGACGTTGTCTGCGTGGAATTAAAATAAATATTTTCTTCAAATTCAAATGTCATTTATTCATGTAGGACATTTTAGCCGCTTATGAACGTTAAATATTTTACATAATTATATTATTTTATTCCTTACCGTCCAGTTTTTAAACAAAACCAGCCTCGAAGTTCTCTACCTAGAACCTATAAGGAGTAACGTAACTCCTTATAGGTTTTAGAGATGATTGAACTTTTATAAAGTACCCATAACACAAGCGCGCATAATAGATTCTTGCAGGTAGCTTACAGGTCTTAGCACCTGAGAATAGCCCAAAAATCAATAAACAAAAATAATCCTTATAAATAATATCCCCTTCAGATCGACCAGTATCTAATTCAAACGGGGGTCGAAATTACGACGGTCTGAGATGAAGTTCGAACCCCTAGCAATGCGCTCAGACTGAAGTCTTATCCGTGAGGCGGGAGTTGGCCTTCAGCCGCTCTATAAGTCCTTCCTTTGGTTTGGAGTGCCATCTGCACTCACCCCATATCGTCCGGTGAAGCTGTAAAGGCCAGCTGCGGCCAACAGCATTAGAGTAGTCAGAAAAAGTTTCATAAAAATCTTTTTGTAATTATTTTTAATAAATTATCATTTTAGTAAAAATTTATTGATTTAAAACTTTAGCTTAAATTTTTGTATTGATAAAATGATTTCAATTTAAAATGAATCAGTACCCACGTACCTACCTTGATAGAAGTTAATTTACCTACATAGTTTTGATTGTTTAAGATATAGTTAAAACGCAATGAGTGTACCTTCAGCATCTGTGTTATTGATCTCGACGGTGCGCCCAGAGTACAGTTGGTGAATATCGTCTGGCCTGTAAAGAAGACCAAGTTAATACATTTATTTATTTATAGGTTCTCTTGAATGTGGCACAACCACATTGTAGAATCACCTTCCAGCAGTGGTATTTCCGAACCGATACGATATTGAAACCTTCAAGAGCTTATTCCTTTTTAAACGGCCGACAACGTACTTGCAATTCCCCTGGTGTTGCGGATTACCGCCGCCCTCATGGGCGGCGGTAATCACTTACCATCAGGTGATTCGCATGTTCGTTTGTCTCCTGTGTTATATAAAAAAACATGGGAAGGTTAGCTTATGCTAACATCGTCAATTATAACATTCAAAAATCATATTTTATTTAGTTATGAACGTAGTAAATTTGAAATATCTATTAGTTTCGTAATATAGTAATCTACTAAGTTGTGTCGATGAATATATGTGTGTACACGCGAGTCCGCGTCTGATGGTATATCTTATATATAAAATTCTCGTGTTACAGTTTTCGTTCCCATACTCCTCCGAAACGGCTTGACTGATTCTCATGAAATTTTGTGAGCGTATTGAGTAGATCTGAGAATCGGCCATCTATTTTTCATCCTCCTAAATGTTAGGTGTAGTCCACCCCTAATTTTTTTTTTATATTAAGGCAAAACAACGTAACAAATATATATATTGTTAGTTGTAACTTCCGCTGGTGGCGCCACCGTCGTGCGGCGCGTCTATAAAAGGCTGCGAAACCCGGTGTGCGGCCTCTTTTGGTCGACAGACGTACTCTCGAACGAATCTCCGTATCATACCGTGTTTGCTTTATAAGTTCTTTTACTAATTTTGTTAAAATTAATTATACGATTTGTAATAAGTTTCTTTTATTTAATTAAATTTAGAGGTCATTCCTAACAATATATACAATTCTAGCTTCTAATTTTTTTAATTGATGCAGTAGTATGTTTGATCGATCCGTGCCTGGTGGAAGTAGCTGGTAGTGAACGTAGTGGTAAGTGGTACCTGGTGGCGAGAGGTCCTACAGCGTTCTCTGCGAGACACAGCACGGCGTGGAGGTTGACCGTGGGGCGCGCGCGGACCGCAGCCGCAAACGCACCCAACACGGCCGCCGCGCCCGCACAGTCACCCTTCATACCCACCATCGATGTCTGCAACATACGTATAAGTTACACTTGCGATATAATCGTAATAAAAGCAGTAATGGCTTATTTTTTTTTATTGAGTTATATGGGCTATTGTCGGATGTGTAGCACCTGTAGCACTGCGACCTACATAGATCTATTGTGTATGTGTGATCTATTGTACCCTTTTCAGAGTTCGCTACCTAGACCCGTCAGGGACAAGAATTGAAGGATATTCTTAGGAGCGATGGTTTTTATCTCCTCGGGAAAGAGTGTAAACTTTCCAAAGGAGATATTTCGTTTATGCATGAGTAGGCTACAACCACATAGGATGTGAAGCGGCGTTTCCTCTTCAGTTTGGCAGAATCTGCAGATACTTGTCGTGCATAGGCCTAGTTTAGCCATATGCTTGTTTAATTTGCAGTGTCCTGTGAGAGCCCTAGTCATCATGCATATGTTGTTTTTACTCAATAGCAGTAGTCTATTGGAGTATTTGTTCGAGAAGCCCGATATTAGGTCTTTTGAATGTGTCAATCTTGGCATTTCTCGCCAGTGATTCAGTGCTTCTCGTTTGGTTATTAATTTGAGATGTCCCAGTTGTAGGCAACGAGGCACACCACAGAAGGGTTCGGGGCCCAGTTGGACGGTTTTTGCCCCTAACTTTGTCAGATGGTCGGCATTCAGTAATGGCCTAAATCAGTGGTTCCCAAATAGTTTTTGATGCGTACCACCTCAAAAAAGGCCTGAAACCTTGCGTACCCCTTATTGTTGCAATCACACTAATATTATAAATGACGTTAAAAGCCAAACTGGCGGGAAGCGGGAACGGGTGACCGGTGGCGGGAGCAGCCAAATGACGAGATGCGGCAGGCGCGGGATACCGCATGGTCGGTCATAGTGCTTAGTGCTCCGTGTGAATCGGATGAACAATGATGATCGTTATAAAATAATATTTTGGAAATTGTTCTTTTACTGATAGTCGCACGTACCCCTCGATGCAACTTCCTTACCCCTGGGGGTACGCGTACTACTAATTGTGAAACACCGGTCTAAATCAATACTAATATTAGCAGACCCGGCCACGCGTTGCTGTGGCTAAGATTCTTGAGTAAAACAATATTGCGACTATAAATTAAGATGTAAGATATCTTATCTTTCAAATTGGATAAAATTGCACACAATGTGCCAATCAAATTTGCGGTTCAGTCTTATAGGAGTTCATAGAGACAAACAACGTAATTTTTATATCTAAATATATATAACTCAGTGATCTATCAACGCACATCCCAAACCACCGGACGGATCGGGCTGAGACTTTGCATGCCTAAATTTACTATGACGTAGGCATAAAATAGGGGATGAAAGTTTGAATAAATCTTCTTAGATTTTCGACTGATTGAAGGATTTTGATAAGGGGATAAAATGAAATTAAAGATTATATTTCTTATTATGATGAACTGAAATTAAAGATTGGACCTACTATGATGAAGATTTTGATAAATTCAACCTCCATGGGGATAAAATAAGGGATGATGCAGGATGTAAATGTATTAGTTTGAACCTATCAGTTAAACTAAATGGATGGAACGAATAAATTAAAACGAACAAAATAATTTTTAGTTCTTTAGGCTACTTTTATTTTAGAAAAAATAAAGTTAAATTCCATGAGGAAGAAGTCGCGGGAACAGCTAGTATAAAGATAAAGTGGTTGTGTAACTAAATTGTAGGAGTTCATGCTAATTGAATTGTCTGTGCCGGAGGTCGGGTCTGTCGGGACATCGGGGTCCCTAAGATCTAGCTGACCACAACTATAGCGTCACATTCGTGATTTGCTTATAAAGGAGTGCTTAGTTTGTACAAAAAAATTAAGTATTTATACCAGTGGTATAAAAATCATAACACAAGCTTTGCTTAGCTTGATGGCTTGAGATCAGATAACGCTGCTATATATATATTTAAGCCTTAAAAAGCTCGTTTAACAAGATGATATATCTTATTAAGAGGAGTGTGATACAGTCGCAGTACTACAAAATCTCAGATGTACCTAGTCCATTATAACAAAGATATAAATATTGACCCTGGCTTTGATGGAGAGGCCGCCGGTGTCGTAGACGATGCCCTTCCCGACCCAGGCCACGGTGGCGGCGGCGGCCGCGGGCCGGCAGTGCAGCGCCACCAGCGCCGGCGCCCGCGCCGCGCCCGCGCCCACCCCGTACAGCCCGCCCATGCCGCGCGCGCGCAGCTCCTCGCCGCGGATGATGGTCGGCTCGGGCAGCTCCAATTCCTTCGCCACTTGGCACGCTTCCTGTGGAGAAGAGCACGGTTATGAGTTACGTCACACTCCGTCGACACCTGACACCTCCTACGGAGAATAACACGATGTTATACGTGGAGAATTATAAATTACGTCACATGTAAAGGAGGAGACGGCTAAAATTACAAGGGGTGATAGCACAATTATAAGTTTTATGTCACATGTAAAGGAGGAGGGAACAAAGTGTGAAAAGGGATGAAAGGGGGTCCGAATATCAAATCATTTATTGATGTAGGACATTTTGTCCACTTATGAAAGTCAAATGTTCCGTATTTTTTAAATAGTTAGTAATTTTAGCTCTATTTACGTATTAGGGAATAATCTCCCCAAAGCATAAACAACTTTTTATTATTTTTCTACTTATAAAACAAGTCCTGGAATTCGGGGAATATTCATATTACTCTATCATATCGCAAGTATGTAAAATAGTTCTACCTACTCCGATCACTCGTTATGACTCGTTTTTGTACGTCGTTCAAAGTTATATCGCTCATTCGATCCCGACCTGTCATAAACGCAAACTCTGAGCGGTCGGACTGTAATATTAAGATTAAATGAATTTCTTCCTTCAATGTAATAATCAAACAAACTTACTTCAATGAATTTATCCACATCCATAATATTGGCTGGCGTGTCCGCTATGCGAGCGGCAAGTCTCGTAGCGTCTGCAGCATCCTGCAACGTCGCCAAGTCCTCGGACGACAGCGTGTTATCTAAGAGGTACGGATCTATGGGACCCACGTCGTCGTCATCCGAACCGTCGCCATCTGGAATAAATCATTATATTTGTAGCACATCATTCGCGCAATACAGCTGCGCGCTAACAGCTACAGCATTTTTTTTCGGACTACTCTAATGCTGTTGGCCGCAGCTGGCCTTTACAGCGTCACCGGGCGATAGGGGGTGCAGATGGCACTCCAAACCCGCGGAAGGACTTATGGAGCGCCTGAAGGCCAACTCCCGCCTGACGGGTACAACTTTAGCACCGCTAGGGGTTCAATCCTCGGGTCGGGCCGTCGTAATTTCGATCCCCGTTTAAATTGGATGGGGGATCGATCGGAGAGGACTGCCAGCGCAACGCGAGCACCTCGCTTATATTAATAAACTCGGTGCGAGCGGGAACGCTCGAGTATTGTCGTCTCCCTCACTACTGACATGCATATTTGGTAATACATCTATCATATTTGAGGCATATACATAACTTGTAAATTGTTCGAAATAAATGTCCACAAATACAAATAAGATAGTGGTTTTATTTCTACCTATACTCAGCCACTACATATTAATATCTGAAGCAAAAACTTTTTATTTGCGGACATCGTTATAATTTATTTTTCATACTGCTTTCTTGATATATGATAGCGTAGCGGCTTTTGTATTGATTGCCGCATGCATCCTCATGTAAAGTGCGAATACTGTAACTACCATATAGTAATTTTTGTAGCTGTGACGTGGTCGAGTGGAATGAGTAGTCATGCTCACTAAAATTTCCAGACATGTGGCGGCGTGGTGGGCCGGGTCATTGGGCTCCCTAAAATATGGTCGAGCGCAGTGATGGCTGGCTCATCCGTCATACTCGTGACCGAGTGCTGCTTGTGGGGACTGGTCTGCTCTTATCACTACGACCGATTTAATCTTATTGTGTTTTTATATTTGAGCCTAAATAAATTAGTGCTGGTTGGTAGTTTGTATTCACACTGGTTGGTAGATTGTTTAAAAGAGCAACACACAAGTTTCTTGCTTATTCTTCTTGTGATGAGACAGCTTTCCGAATAAGCGGTAGATTTAAAAAAATGTTGACTATTCAAAAGTGCTTAAATTAAGTTTATTTGAATAAATGATTTTCTATTCTATTCTATTCTAAACTTTGTACTCCTTTTTACGAAAATTACGCTAACGGAGGAGTATGAAATTTCGCACACTTATTATTTATTAGTGGTTGCTCATTGGTCAAAATTCAACTACAATTAATTTAAATTATATTTATGTTTTATATTCAGAAAGACTATTAAAGACAAACAATATTAAACCATTCTGTAGACCGCTTGAATATATGACTTACTAGCTTTTACCCGCGGCTTCGCTCACATTTAATACATTAAACAATAATATTACTGGCTGGTAGATGGCGCTGATTTATAACTTCATTACTGGCTGCTGGAAAAAATATTTGTTTCTTTTTTTCATTCTAATACCTCCAAGAATATGTGTACAAAATTTCATGATGATCGGTTCAGTAGTTTTTGCGTGAAAGTGTAGCAAACATCTCTACTTTCACATTTATACCATTAGTTAGGATTATTTCGTATGTATGTTAGTCTATAAGGTATGTATAATTGTAGTATATATAGTTTTTGGCATAATTAATATTGTTCATAACGTACTCTGTGCAGTTGACAGAGCCTGATTGTAAAAATGGCGGGAACGGCCTAATTAAATGTTAAGCGCAATTTAGCATTTTATTTACACAGTACAATAATATACCTTGTGCGTCCTCGACGAGGAGTATCTCGACGACGACGGTGCGAGGCGGCGGCGGAGGCGAGGCCGCGAGCGGCGCCGCGCCCGACCGCGCGCTGTACAGCGGGAACGAGCGGGCGATGCTCACACAGCTCGCGTACAAGTTACGCTTGGAGCACGTCAACTGGAACGGAAGTTAGCATCACGACACTGACGGTGCAAAATGGACTTTACGGCAATTGACACTGATTGGGGCAAAATTGACCGCGGCAGTCTTTGTTTGGAAAGCATCATCAGGACGCTGAGGCTGATTGGGGCAACATTGACCGAGGTAGACTTTGTTAAGTTTACGACACTTGACGGTGATTGAGGCAACATTGACCGAGGTAGACTTTGTTAAGTTTACGACACTTGACGGTGATTGGGGTAACATTGACCGCGGTGACTTTGTTAAGTTTACGACACTTGACGGTGATTGGGGCAACATTGACCGAGGTAGACTTTGTTAAGTTTACGACACTTGACGGTGATTGAGGCAAAATTGACCGCGGTGACTTTGTACAGAAGTTATCATTACGACACTTATTGGTGATTAAGGCAAAATTGACAGAGGTACACTTCCGCGGCAGACATTGTACAGAAGTTACCATCAGGACACTGAAGGTGATTGGGCAAAATAGACAGAGGTAGAATTTCTAAGGAAATTATCCTTGCGACACTGACGGTTATTGGGGCACTATTGACCACGGTAGACTTTGCATAAAGCGTAGGTATCTATCTTCTTCTTATTGCATACCCTCTTGACAGAACGGTCGTCATAATTATACAGTGATATATTATGTAGTTTAATATTTTATGTAAAGACTCACCACAATGAATTCATCCGTAGAGCGCTGTAGGTTCCTGACAATTTTGGCTAGAGCGTGACACCGTGACGGCGCCGCGTGCCGCGAGCGGCGTGCTGGCAGAGACGCCAGCGAGACAGCTCGAGGCCACAGCTCCACCGTGTCCCCCGGTGATGATGTCACGCACGCTATACCGCGCTGCCATGTCTACAGAGTTAAGTGGATAGCAGAGAACATTATAATTCAATACATTTAGAGGATAAGGATGGAAAGGATTAGCTGGAAAGATAAAGTAAGAAACATAACACAGGGTGAAATAAAAAAGGTAGATATTGAATAATAATTGTTAGTATGTGGACTGACGACGCCATTGCTAACAATATACCATGAAAGGTTAACCACCTTGCGGTTTCCCCTGGAAAACATAGTAATACATTCCTGGTGAATTTGCCATGATGGCCTAACCGACCTGACCTCATGCTTATCTTAACATCCTCCACTAGTGACCCGCCAGCATCCTGAGTTAGGGCTTCAAATGTATCCAAGGACATTGCCCGACACTTTAAGTGAAGTAACTTTTTACATGTTTCCCTTGAACACTCCATGTAAGAAACATCCACTTTAATTAATAGTGATTATATAAAAACATCAAAATAAAAGCTACCTGCCAAAAAAAAGTACCGTCAAAATCGATCCAGCCATTTAAGAGATTAGTCGGAACATAAGACAGACAGACAAAAATTGTAAAAAATGTTATTTTGGTGTAAGTATGTACCGTATTTATATTCATATGCATGTAGTAAAAAACGGTTATTTCAATATTACAAACAGACAGTACAATTTTATTTATATGTATAGATGTATAGATTAAAGAGGTTTACTTATATCAACTTACCTCTTCTGATACTCTGGTCTCCAGCTTGCACCTCACATCATCCCATCTGAGAAGGTCAAGATGTGCCACCTGCCCCACCACAAGCACCGGATTCCGCTCGGGGTCCGACGCCGTCAGACCCCAACGGAACTTGATGTTCACAGTTGCGTTGGACATACTGCGAACTGCATATTTATTTATCATTAATATAGTGATATCAGGTTTAAACTTCCAATGACATATAAAGTTCATTAATATACATACTAAAATCACTAGTAACCCTGATGACTTCGGCGTGATGCCGGTTGACCAGGGAGAGAAACCCCAAGTAGCGCCCGAGACTTGTGACACGGGTGTAGGTTTAAAGGGCCCTTTTAGAATACATTAACACTCACCTTCACTACTTCAATATTCCCATTCTTACCTGGTATTGATTTTTGTCAATTTCTACAAACAGAGAACTTTAGTAATAGTTTAGTGTTAAAAACATGATTTTTTGTATATTTCTAACTGTAGTAAAGTTTAGTGTTAAAAACATAAAGTAAAAACAAAAAGATGACAACTGTCATAGACCCCTTGCAAATAGTCATAGACCCCTGGGGGTAGATACAGACCACTTTGGGAATCACTGGTCTAAAGGAAGTAGGTCTAATTCCATTGGTATCACTCCATTAGCAGTGGAAAAACAAGTTATGATTAATAATTAAATGAGTCCACATATTTAATGTATATGTGGTCACAATAATTTAGAAATATATAATTATCCTACATACATTTTTATATTCATATAAATATACATATATAAAATTATAAATTTATTAGATGTCTGTTACTCTTTCACGCAAAAACTACTGAACGGATTTTGAAATGTACGTGTGAACATTCACAGTAAGTGGTGAACGTGTGATTTTTAATAATTCTATGTATAAATAATGACCGCGTCAAATTTAAAACAATATATAATACATAAATATTCAGTGTATCATATCCACAGCATTGAACCATCTCAAACATCCTGACAGTAGATCTCATGGATGATAATAGAATGGTGGAGCCCTGTACCACTATTAGTTTTAATACAAGACAGTAAACCATAGGAGAAAGTATTCCCTCAAAATTAATTCAAACTGAAAGCTGGAGTAAATCATTACATAGTATAAAACAAAGTTGCTGTCCATACCTATGTATGATTAAACCTTTAAAATTACACAACAGATTTTGAAGCGGTTCTTTTTAATAGATAGATTGATTCAAGAGGAAGGTTTATATGTATAATACATGTACACCCAGGAAAAGCTAGGGCGAGTAGCTATTATTATAATACCACATTTATACAGTATTTATAATATAAAAAAGTAGCTATTACCCATTACTCTGTCTGCACAAACTTTCATCCCTTATTTCATCCCTTTCTACATTATTGAGATGAAAGAAAGCCTATTTCCATCCTTCATTATCATGGTAAGATATGGTAGGACTTAAAAATCCATACAGATTAAAAATATTTAAAAATGCAATTCTATTCCTACAATTTCATATTTCTTTTTTTATACTATTATTATGTTGGCATACAAGCATAATTAATTTTAAATACTTAAAGAAATTATTAAAAAAATAACAATTAACTTACAGGCAGTTATATCAGAGAACTATAGTTATTCTAAAAATAGGTAATCACTTATTTATTCTGTGTCATCAGACTAAAGCATGAATGTTACATATATATATACCAGTATATATACAGATTACTTGACACTTATGAGTAATTTATTTCTCTATTACCTACAGAATGAACCTTAGAAAGTTTAAATAAAAAAAAAGTACATAAAGGCACAGAAAATTAATAATAAATGGATACGATAAAAATAAATCGGTCATTCACCTTTCATGAAAAACGAAGCGTGTTTATTCTGTTTAAATACACATTGAATAGTATTAAGTATTCGTAATATTAACATGGTTACTTATATAATGTTAAAACTTGTCAATAATGCAAACAAATATGATAAAGCACGAACAATCAGTCATACTAGCGCTATATTTAAAACTTACCGTTACACCAACGCGATTTTCACAACGGTACTCAAATATTTACATGAATAGTACAACTAACACTAGATTCCATACAAAAAGTTATAAAATCAAGACTTAACGTTTAATTACTATAAAATGAACAAAGAAATGAAATTAAAATTGTTATTCAGTTCAAAGTTGTAACTTGCCAAATCATTGATGATATGTTTGTCAATTTTGTAATTACTCTGTGCTGTCAAGTGTCATATAGACATATCGGACAGTATCATATCACTCTAATTGACTGAGAAAATTACCACTTCGAAAATAATAGAAATCTTTGTACCCACTTTGCACAAAAGATTAAACTCTCAAAAAAAATTATGGCATCGTGTTCTATACGAAGTTCATTTTTGTTAGTCATACTATTTTTGTTCAAAGACGACTTATACTGCGTCAAATATTTTGTAGAGAAGGTGTGAGAGGGTATCTCATGAGCTCAAGCATGAATGTGAAATTAGAAAGCGGCATTAAAATTATAAAGGTGTGCGGTAAACGGTAGATACTAGCCATTTTACTAGTGACACACTAAAGTCGGCGCTCTGTCATAAAGTAGGAAGTATGATTTTTTTTATTTATAAAGGATAACTTAAAAAATAATTAAAGGACTATACGTTGTATGCCCATCATAGAGTATATCTTATGATTAAGAACTTCTTATAAGAAGTCCTGCATTTTCACATGTTAAGATTTTTTTTTTTAAACTTATATCCTCGCAACTGTTATTGTATTTGGGGTACTTAGAGGTATCTTCCGCATACATATCAGTATATGAGGTCAACGTGATACTTGGTATGACCGCATTTTATTGATTTATTTGACTTAACGTTCGTTCAACTATAGGCACAAAATGGATAAGTGTTGTGTATGACTGAAATGAAAGTCGCTGGAAGAGGCTTATGCCAAAAGGTACACTGAAATTAGAGATATATTTTTTATAATTATTAATTAAATCTAGCGATGAAATGATACTTTAATTTTGCAATAATATTGATCGTCAGCCGGTTCGTCACAGTTAGTCATATTCGTGACAGTGTCGCCTCCTAGTGTGACGTCACATGTTTTGCAATCCACCAGTAAATCAGTAGATGAATTATGTTTAAGATTATCAAAGTCAAAATTTGAACTAGATGCTAATTAGTAGTTAAAATTTCGACTTATTTATAAATTTTGCAATGTTACGATGTCACAAAATTTAGCCCCCTTGTGTGACTTGTATGACAAATTATGGATGCCCCCTAAAGGGAGATACTATATCATTTTAAAATTAAATAAAAAACATTTCTACAGGTCAATACTTTAATATCTTACAGACCAGTAATTTTATGTAATTAAAACATTAATTTAATATCATTTTCGCATACTAAATACCAAATTAAAAATAATAAAAATTGTGACAATTAAATAACATTCCAATACAAACAACATTATTATGCGTTTTTTTCTAATATAAGGCAATGAATTACATTTCATGAGGTTATATTCATTCTTTATGTATACATATATAGACTTTATGAATTGAATTGGGTATAACGAGCATACCAAATAAAAAAATATATTACATGGGCATGAGGCATTGGTACATTTTCTATCCATCGAGTAAAATATTTCAAACTTCATACATAATGTTCTCTAGTTATGTAACACAATTACTGCAAAAGTTGGCACTAAAAACAATGTATGGACTTTTGCGTCTGCCCACACCCATATATACTAGGACTAGTTTCATTAGTCGCTATGGTATAAAAACAAAACTTGATATCCAATTACAATTGGGGGAAGGTTTAGTGACTGCATGGTTAGCAATGTCATGTCATATCCACGTGGTCCCATTGAAAACCATCATGGTTAATTCCTTGTGAATGTCATGTTGGGCTAATTGACTCGACTTCATGCTCATCCTAACATACACACTGTGTCCTGTGCCTTAGCTTGTGTTATGGCTAATCTATGTCCTGTACAAACCGTTAATACAGGCGGGTGCACCTTTTTAAAAAAAAAAGCAATTATATAATAATTATAGTGCCATGCTGTCTTTTTAATATCAACATCCGACAGCGAAACCGGTAGAAGGTACAAACTGTTTCTGTTTATTTCCAATATAGAACAAACTATATTAAAATAATCACCATAGGTATTAAGTTTTTTTTAATAATAAAATAGATATGGAGTATCAAGTTCCTCCTTATGTCTTCACGTAAGAGTGTCACCACCCTATGCGCGATACTAAGTTGGAATCAAGTTATATTACGTTTACGACACCTTTCACTTTTTGTCACACAATGTCACCTTTTGTGACACCTTTGTCGCTACCAAAGTGTGACATATTTTATAGACGGCTCTTAATCTGATCTTGCAATTAAGAAATATGAGAAATATATTTCAATACCATTTTACCATAACGACAATACGTTACAAATCAAATCGTGATAAATAAATTGAAGTTGTCATACAAAAATACACTCGAATTATTATAATTGAACATCACACAAGGCAATATATAAATTTGTTGAATTAAAAAATAAATGATAATTTGCAATATTTTTATTAATAGTTTAAACACTTCAACCAACTGTATATCAAAATAAGAATATGCTTTGTTAAGAAACGTTTATAAGCTTATGTATATTAGAGGCCATTCATAAATTCAGTAATTTATACCCCAATGGGTGGTTCTCAGTACTAGTTTTCTTTTAGATGAAGTTTGTGACTCTACCAACCACTTTATACAATGTCACACTTTGTCAAACTCCCCAAGTAAAGTGTGACGTAATTTATGGATGACCCCTTATGTTTTGAATTGAAATTTGTGAATAATTTATAATAAAAAAAAAATACAAACATTCTCGAAAATTCAGTTTAAGAGAATTAATTTGATACTTCATTTGTAGGATACAATTTAAAAGAATAGACTTGTCTTTTACGCTTAAATACAATATTATGTAAAGGAGTGTCGGCAGTAATTATCTAATCGAACAATAAATAAACTTGAAGCTCGTACAATCATCAGGAACGAAAGTAAATGAATTACTTGACGTTTGGTTATGTTTTGTTATACTTTGTAGCAGGCTCAGCACAAAAAAGGTTCTAACATTAACGACGTACACACAAATTGGTAAAATTTAATTATTCAATAATTAATACATTTGTATAATTTCATTAATATAACATTTTACAACAATAATATTAATTTTATACACAAAACATTTTATTGTCATTTTTTTAAAAGTGACAAAGTTAATTAATAATTACAAAGAATGTGACCCAATAAAAATACTGAACAAGAAAACAACCTAAAACCCGTATGTTAATAGGAGCAAAAAAATGGCTGATTTAAAAAACATAAATTGAACGTTTTTATTTTGAAAATGGAAAGTGATTTTTATAAATATAATACCTAATTGGAACTGGCTTAAAAACTCAATAATAAAAAAATAGATACTAAATTCATATTGTAAATGGGAATGAAATATAATAATTTAAAAATAAGTAGAATATCGTAGTAGAGAAACGAGAACAGGGTAGTACCTAAGTAGATGAATTCATTTTAACTTTATGGTTGACATTTGAATAAAGAATAAAATTTTATATAATATTTAAATTTATTTCTATATACATTTTCGGAAGCCATATTTTAAAATCAGCCCATACAGCCTTATAATAAAGGGGGAAAAAGTAAAGTTTAACTTTTATTATTTTACTTAAATACTATTTTAATATCACCCCCTTTATTCAGGATGTACAGATACATTATCAGAATTTCATAACAAGTCCTATATCTTTTATAACAATCTATGTTAGAAAAACAGTTCTATGTTTTTTTTATTTCAATGACACTACTATATATACGTATCATATACATTTAGATGTAGTGTATGTACTTTTAAGCGTATATATTATGCATGAGAATGCTTGAGACCAGTTATAAAAACTTTAGTACTTCGTTCTAAATATAAAGGGACCTTAGGGACCCACTAGCTTGTAGATATTACATTTTACAACATAAAAACGTTCAAAAACAATTTCAAACCAAAATTAATTATCTATATACAAATATCTATATATATGTCTATAAATTTAACTAGCAACAACATCCATTTAGTCTATTCACAGAGAATTATCGTTATAAGCTTCAAACTCGACCTAGAAGCAGAAGGCATAGAGTATATTACAAATAACCTTGTACATAAAACCTTTAACCGTATACTACGTGTCCTTAACATTTCTTAAAAGAATATTATAGAAGCCAACCTTTTTATATTCATTGTTTTACAGTTCACGTGTGTATCGATAGTTTTGATTGAAAGAAACCGTTAGGCCTTTTCGTTTCTCTTCATAATTAACTCGAATTATTTCATGTACATAATTGAAAGGTAAACGTTTAACGAGGGACACGCACACGTATATAATTTTCACCCACACATGCACAGCACCATTGGGAAGTAAATAAATGTGACCGTTACAAGTTATGGTTTAATTGTGTACAGAAAGAGGTAGTGTAGTGGAATAGTCCCTTAAGAATTCTTGATTTTAATAATAATATCATAATAGTCCAGGACACATCACACAGCGCCACTTGGTCCTAACCTAAGCAGAGCTTGTGTTATGTGTACTAGACACCGAAAAATATATTTATTTTGTAAATATATACATAATAGTTGTTCTATTTATTGTTGTTGACTGATTATCATTTACAAATCTTTATGAAGTCGCGGGCTACACTAATACAAATAAATAACAATATAATTACATAACTACCACACTACCTCTCTCTAACATTTCTTACACAATTCTCGTATTTTTCTATTTGCTACTTTAATCACCTCCACCTTTAATATCAAAATTAATTAACATTGTGTCATATCCAATATTTATATGCCAATCGTTTGCGCAGTATTTAATTGACACAAAATGGATTGATAAAGAAAAAAATAACATTATTTTTTAATATAATCTCATTAAAAATACTTTTGGAGAAACTTTAAAGTGTACGATTTTAACCCTTTCAGACCTTGAATAATATGGGCAAAGTTACAACTTAACAACATTTTTAAACCGCGTGCAATCCGTTTTTAAGCACTGAACATAAACAAACGGATACGATATTGAAACCTTCAAGAAAAGAGCTTATCGCTTCTTAAAAGGCTGGAAATGTACTTTCATGTTGTGTTGCGGGTGCGGCGGCGGTAACTTATTATCAGGTGCGCCGCAAGCTTGTCCGTCCCCTATGCATTCAATACAGATGCTACTCTAGCGGTTAGAGCTATAAGAAATTGCCATATGATAATGAGTTCCTAAAACGCTCAATAAACATGCTGCTCTAGTGATTAGACGATAAACTGATAAAGTACCCACGCATAGGCTTGAGTATAAAGAATGAAAAGGTAATTAATATAAAATCAATCTCCGGTCTGAAAGGGGAACACGTTAATTTCATGTCGGGTATCAAACTCGCAACCGTTGGAAGATGAGACAGTATTATTCAGAACCCCGACCTGTCTCATTTGGCTGCCTACGTACGTAGAAATACCACGCGCGAAGTTGATGCCATTTGCAAATTGACAGGACATCAAAAATACTTACATTGAACTAAAAATAATGGCACCAATTGTCTTTTATTTTTAACAAACTTCAGTTATAAATTACAATTACAGTTGCGGAACATTTAAAAAGAATGTGTATCTATTGTATGTGCATTTTAATGTATTCAGAAGGTATCTTATTAAACACTAGCGACCCGCACAGATGCATTACAAACCTATGGATTTCTCGGCTTGTTCTATATTGTAGCACGCATATATTATATATATAAACCTTCCTCTTGGATCACTCTATATATTGCTGAACATTACATTAAAATCCGTTGCGTAATTTAAAAGATATAAGCTAACAGAAAGCATTGATGACTTTGTTTTATATTATTATGAAACATTCTGAATACATTGACATACGCGAGAATTAAGAAATTTAACTGTGGATTAATTTGCAGCATCAAAACATTTAATTACACTATCTGTACTTAAACAAAATTATAAGTATTTTAACAAAATATAAAGTATTTTTTGTTAAAATTTTAAATTATGCAATATCACTGTTATTAAAAATTTAGCGTGCATTGTACATATTTCTTTACAGGACTTCAAAGACAATTTATTAATTAAAACTCTGCGTTTAGAGCATTATATACTGCTTAGGCTGGCTATAAATTTATGTGACTGGCAAGAAGAAAATCAGAACTATTAATGTCAATAAACAAAGTATTTTACACTATTCTTTCATTAATGGAAACATTTCACAGCCAAAATACTCTATAACCCTTAAATTTATACATATTTTAGTAACAAAACGAAAAAAATATATAACGTTTACTTAGTACTAGGTTAATTTTATAATTCTTTGCTCTATACAATGACATAATTGAACTGAAATTAGCGGCCATCCAAAAATTACCGTCACACTTTATCACACTTGTCACATATCAATGTCACACTAGGTCAATCCGCTTACTTTAGGTGTGACACAATTTATCCATGGCCGCTTATGGAATTATCGAAATATTCCAATATATTCTATAAATTATATTTACTATCTTAATGTATAGAATACCAACACCGATTGTAGCTATATATTAATAACATAAACAAGATCCTATTTACCAACAGATATTTATAAAGGAGTGGGAGTTGTATAGACTCTTTAATTGATATCGATTAATTTTTGCTAAACATGCTACAATGAAATGACAACCTTATACCGTTATCATAAGCTTGACAATCGATGCTGGTATCCTAACAGTGTCAAATAAGATTCATATATTGTTCATTCGTTTGCAATAAGTTTGAGAGAGAGCAAAGACAAGGCATTTCGCTTTATGTAAGTAGTGTGAAATTAATAATTAAGTGATAAGTAATATTTTTTGTTAAACATTTTTTTTAAATACAATCCGATTGTTTTAATTGTTAATACATTTTGTATTAGTGTGCATTTATTATTTTATTATAAGCCCAGTATAATTACTAGTATATATACATATATTTTGTACATTCGGTACGTATGTGTCGTACGCTCGTGTATGACTTGTATATACTATGGGGCTATCCATAAATAAGGTCACACTAATTTGTGACTCCACATCCCATTGTTACATCCCATATTTTGTAATTTTATTGAAATTTCATGTTTTATATGAGTTTTTGAAAAAAAAATTATGTTATATTTGTGACCCGTCCCACATCTTGTCACACTACGTCACATTTTGTCAAACCCTCACCGATACAAATATTTTTAAATTTTGCTACTAATTCAAATCTCGTGTTTGACATTAGGTTTTGAAATGTGACGTCAAATTTGTGACCCTTCCCACATCCTGTCACACTATGTCACACTTTGTCAAACCCCCAACGCCCAAGTGTGACGTTATTATGGAAGGCCCCCATTAGCTACGTACACATACACCTAGTACTATTATGTTTATCATTGTAAATTACATATCATAACATGACGAGCAAATTCATGAAATTACTAAAAAAAATCTATTTATAATTATCACATGATTGTTAAAGTAGAAATACAAATTGACAATCCGATTTATATTTTATATACCTAGTACATTTTGTACAACATAAATTATATATTAAACACACAAAATAACAAATCATTTATTATAACGGTAACAAATTCAATAAAAATTTGGGGATTTCTCTCAAATCTCATCACTTATTCTATATGGAATCCATATTTATAGGGTAACTGTACCAATTATCGGTAGCGACTCTGAATGAATTTGTACGAATTACATTATTTATTATTTAGAATCGGCTAACGAACCTTTATTACTAACTCTTATACCTTTACTAGTATATCTGAAGCTAAATTTCTCTTTTTTTTTATTTTATAACACAGGGGACAAACGAGCATGCGGCTCACCTGATGGTAAGTGATTACCGCCGCCCATGAGCACCCGCAACACCAGGGGAATTGCAAGTACGTTGTCGGCCTTTTAAAAAGGAATAAGCTCTTTTCTTGAAGGTTTCAATATCGTATCGGTTCGGAAATACCATTGCTGGAATGTGATTCCACAATGTGGTTGTGCGTGGCAAAAAGTTTCTAGAAAACCGCACTGTGGAAGACCGCCATTCATCTAGATGATCAGGATGGTATTTCAGTTTCTGGCGGGTGGTACGGTGGTGAAACTCAGCAGCTGGTATTAATCCGAACAATTCCTCAGAACACTCTCCATGATATATTTCGAGCTGACATTACAAGAATAGCCTTTAAAGGCCTAAATATAAAGTTACAATTCCTATAAATTGAATAAAGACTCACTTTTTTTTGTACCTATATTGTAAAATATCCAAACCATTGTAGTTGTGTATTTATTTATTTTTTTCTTTACATTATTGTGCAGTACATTTGGCACAGGACAGAGACGTCTGCAGAATTTTAGATGGAAGAAGAATTCCTGGTGGTCACGACCTAATGCCTAAGGCCTTGAGAAATCGACAAAGAAGAGAAAACATACCATGTGTGCCCTTTAACACAAATAAAACATTTTTTTCGAACTATTTTAATGTGGTTAGCCGAGCTGGTCTTTACAACTTCACCGGACGATAGGCGAGTACAAATGGTACTCCAAACTCGAGGAAAGGCTTATGGAGCGGCTGAAGGCCAACTCCCACCTGACGGATACGACTTTAATCTGAGGGCACTTCTAGGGGTCCGAACCTCGCCCAGGCTGTCGTAATTACGATCCCCGTTTGAATTGGACGGGGATCGATCGGTGGGGTACATATAAGTTTTATCTATTAAATATTGATGGTGTCGCGAATTGGTACAATTACCCTACTGTTTAATAAGTAATCTAATGCGGTAATTATATATAAAAGGCTATGGTGTAAACTTCTAGAAGCGGGAAGCGATGATACACAACCTCTAGCACAGCACCTCGCATTGCGGAATACGCTGCAAGGAAAAAAAACTTAATGACGTCACGGAATAACATATTCTTAAAAAAATAACCCTGGACTGTGTTAAATACACTCGCCATCTAGTCCCACGGTAAACAGAGCTTGTGTTATGGGTACTAGACAACTGATGTAAATACATAGATTTTTTTTCTAAATACATACATAATATAACATAGAAAACACCCAGACCGAAACAAACATACTCATGAATACAAATGTTTGCACCGTGCGAGGAACTAAACCCTAAAAATAAATAAAATATAACCATATCCAACAAAATTAGTGATTCAAGTTTAATTTAATACATATATTTTTTTCTTAAAAAAATATATCAATGTATTAAATAATAAAAATATATTTATGTATTGTCTTCTTATCGGTCTGGGTGTTTTCTATATATACTATGTATGTACATTTGTTATGCGAGGAATCGAACCCGCGGCCATTGGAAGTAAGGCGGTGTCCAAAACCAAAATTATAAGTAAGTAACCAAATAGTAAGAAAATTATCGGACCAAGAAATCATCGTTTATCATATCATCATTATCGTACCAAGAATTATATATCGATACTAACTTTATAAGAAAATTATCGGACCGCTGGTACCAAGAATTATATATCGATACTAACTTAAGAAAATTATCGGACCGCTGGTACCAAGAATTATATATCGATACTAACTTAAGAAAATTATCGGACCGCTGGTACCAAGAATTATATATCGATACTAACTTAAGAAAATTATCGGACCGCTGGTATCAAGAATTATATATCGATACTAACTTAAGAAAATTATCGGACCGCTGGTACCAAGAATTATATATCGATACTAACTTAAGAAAATTGTCGGACCGTTGGTACCAAGAGCTACAGATCGAATTGTAAGTATGGAATAGCAACGTACGTGAATTATCAGACATGGTCACCACAACTTGGGCGCGGTGTTGTTCACGAAGCCCGCCTCGCGCGCCTTCCAGTACTCGCCGGTGAATATCCACACCTCTTCACCATCTTCCGTCGCTTTACTGTAAATTGACATAAACATAGTATAAAACAAAGTAGCTGTCGCTGTCTGTCCCTACTCCCTATGTATGATTAAATCTTTAAAACTACGCAACGAATTTTATTTCTTTTTTTTTTATAGATAGATATCTATATATATATAAATGAATTGCTGTTCGTATATCTCGGTACATGTAAACTCGAGAACGGCTGAACCGATTAGGCTAATTTTAGTCTTAAAATATTCGTAGAAGTCCGGGAAGGTTTAAACGGTGATAAAATATCAAGAAATAGCATGTATAATAGTAAAATGCGTGCGTTCAGAAATGTTTATACTAAACTAGAGATAAAAAAAAAATTGACATTTTTATTTTTGGGTGTGACGATGTTCGCTGGGTCAGCTAGTAATAGATAAAAATAGAGTAAGGTAGTATATACAATACATGTACACCCGTACGAAGCCGGGGCGAGTAGCTAGTATAATTATAGACACGAATGTTTGCTACTCTCCCACGCAAAAACTACTGTATGGATTTCGATGATCACTGCGCTCGACCATATTTAGTTTTATACTATGTAGAGATAAAAAGATAAACTTACCGGAACCACGCGGGCGTGTGTTCGTGTTCGTCCCGGCGTCGGTCTCGCTGCGCCTGCTCTAGTTCCAACTTGAATCGCTCGGCCGCCTCCACGTCGCCGTCTTCCAGCGCGCGTTGATCCGGCCTGAACATTATATACATAATAATAATAACTTTATTACAACTAGAAATAATTTTATATACTGTTTTAAATTTGACAAATGTATAAATATATATTTATATAATTAGTAAAGATCATAAATTTGGATCTTTTTTAATTTTTAATTTAATTAATTTAATTTAATTTATTTATATAACAAACCGTCACGTATGAAGGTAGACCAATTGTTACCAGCAGATCCTCGTCACATCACACTTACACCCAGTAACTTTAGCTGAATTTACGTAATATCTTTTTAAATTATAGCTTATGTTATTTTGATGTATAAGCTATATTACTGTAAAGTTTCATTAAAATTTCTCACAAACTTTCGCGTTTATAATATTAGTTATATAGAAATAATCTTTCCTCGAATATTTAAATCAATTTTTAAATTGACTATAATATCTTAGAATGTGACAAACTAATTTATAGACAATTATTTTTGATTTATTTTAACACTAAATATATGTTCGACGTGGACGATGTCGCGGGTAAAAGTTAGTTTAAATAAAACTGTATATCAACAGACCTGAGCCTGGTGTCCGTGTGAGGTAGAATCTCCTTCATGCCCGGCTCCAACTCGTTCAGTTCCATGGCGAACCGGGTGAATCCATAGTATTGCTCTTGGTCGGGCGGCATTGGCCCTGGTAGAGATAACAAGATGTATAGTGACTATAATAAATAGATAAGTAATGCTGGACAATTAACGTAGCGCCATCTAGTCCCATGGTAAGCAGAGCTTGTATCATAAGTAGTGGAACAACTGATAGTTACATTTTTTTGTATTACATTACACTATTAGTAATGTGTATTGATTATCTTATTGCTAGCAATGTACTATGTCAGGTTGACCTCCACGCGGTTCCCCCTTGAAACCATTGTGATAATTTCTGGTATATATGCCACAATAGGCTAACTGACCTGACTTCATGTTCATCTGATCATCCTCCACTGGTACCCCGCCAGCGTAAACCGTTAGCGCAGGCGGGTGCACCATTCCATTATCAATACTAAAAAAAAAAAACCCGGCCACGCGGAGGGGGAGGGGATTGTTAGTAATGTGTATTGATTATCTTATTGCTAGCAATGTACTATGTCAGGTTGACCTCCACGCAGTTCCCCCTGGAAACTATCGTGATAATTTCTGGTATATATGTCACGATAGGCTAACTGACCTGACCTCATGTTCATCTGATCATCCTCCACTGGTACCCCGCCAGCGTATACAATACCATTATCATCACTAAAAAAAAACCCGGCCACGCGTTGCTGTGGCTAAGGTTCTTGAATAAGATAATATTGTGACTATAAATTGAGATGTAATGCACACAATGCAAATCAAATTTGCAATCGGTACTGTAGTTTAGGAGTCCAACGCGGATAAACAACGCGACACGTAATTTTTATATATAAAGATTTATTATTATATTACATACGTATGTTAAATAGAAAACACCCAGACCGATATAAACAATCATACTCGTGAATACAAAATGTTTGCACCCGTGGAATCGATTCCAATCTCTCTAAAAATCATAATTGCTGTGCATGACGCCCCTTTACATATATCTGTTTCCCAATCATTTTGGTGTCTCTCCCTAAAATTTTTATGCCCCTATTTTTTTGAGAAGGTCTGGGGTGGTGTATCGGCTACTGTGGCAGATTGCCAGATACAGACAATTTATATTATCTTTTCATATGTATGTCTATAAGGTATTGCAATATGGGTCATGTAGGCTGAATAACACGTTAATCGCCAGTCATATATGTGTGACATAAAAAGTTGTGTATGTCTAGGTAATTTGGCAAAAAAAAAATCTATGATACATTTTTAACTAAATTATCTAATAAAGTTACATAGCCCGTGTGAAAATATTTCTTATATTATTGTGGCGATTAACGTGTTAAATAATAATAATAATAATCTCAGGACTATTCACACATCTAGACCCAAGTTAAGCTAGCTAAAGCTTGTTTATGGGTACTAACAACAATACATAGATATATTTTTTCGTACACATATACATATTATACATAGAAAACACCCCGACCGATACAATCATACTCATGAATAATCATACAAATGTTTGTGCCGTGATCGCATTGAACTCGCGACCATTGGATGTAAGGTGGAGTGTTAAACCGCTAGACCACCGTGGCCGTCAAAATAAATAATAATAAATACCAGGTCTCCATAAACAGCGTGAGGTGGGTCTCTCCCCTGCATATAATGCTTCTGACCAGCGTCCTTGCAGACGAAGAGAGGGCCCGCCGCCGCTGACTGCGCCTCGTACCTCGTGACGAGTGTTCGTCCACGAACTCGCCTGTAACAACATATAAATTCATCACAATCGATCGATCCCCCGTCTAATTCGAACGGGGATCGAAATTACGACGGCCTGAGCCGAGGATCGAACTCTATACCTACGTATTTTGTAATTTCTTCCCGTATGCCAGCCTTCAAGCAAAACAAATCTTACACAGCTGTTTACCGGCATTTACAAATTGTTTGACGTCTAAAATTATTTCACCTAGGATCGATTCCCCGTTCAATTCAAACGGGGTTCGAAATTACAACGGCTTGAGTCGAGATTAAAACCCCTAGCGGTGCCCTCAGACTAAAGTCGTATCCGTCAGGCGGGAGTTGGCCTTCAGCCGATTCATAAGTCTTCTGCGGGTTTGGAGTGCCATCTGCACTCGCCCCCTATCGTCCGGTGAAGCTGTAACGGCCCGCCAGCGTCCGGAGTTGGCCTTCAATAGGTTTGGAGTGCCATCTGCACTCGCCCCCTATCGTCCGGTGAAGGCCAGCTGCGGCCTATACAGCTTCACCAAACTGGTGAGTTTTCATTACAGTAGTCCGAAAAAAAAAATCAGAATATCACAACTATGGCTTATATGGCACTAGCTACCCGCCCCGGTTTCGCATGGGTGTACTTTTATTTATTTAACTTTAATGCACACAATACAATTATAGTACAGTACATTTGGCGGACTTAACACCATGCGGCATTTTCTACCAGTCAATCAGAGAATGGAGCAGAGAATATATGTTGGCGGTGCAAATATATTTAATGATAAAAAATATATAATTAGATCTATAAATACAATATATACCTAATTACATAAATCAGGGATGTTATGGATATGAAATTTCGGATCATTCGTTAATTTCGGATAAGATTTATTTAAGGAATTTCAAAAGTAAAATACAAATAGCTAATAAAATGGTTACATGACGTATCTCAATTAGGCTCCGCCCCTATCCGATGTTATCCGAAACTTTTATTTCGGATTCGGTTACGGCTACGAATATTTTTTTATATCGGATATCGGATATCCGTCACCCATCACCCGCACCATGCTACAGCGCACATGATATAAAACCATATTTAAAATACATGTTTTAACAATAAAGAAAATGCAGGTGTGCATGTTAGAAATAAAATGTTTCAATGCAATCTTCCACGTGTTAAATGCCAGTCCCTAGAGAAAGAAATTCCGTGGTTATGATGTGTTACCTTGATAAAGTTGAGTTTGCACGATATATTGGTGCCTTTGCAGGCTATATGCATGTCGCCGTATTGATCCACCCATCGCTGTCCACCGAATAGATTGTGCACGCACGTTGTCACCTGATAGACATAATAGGAAATAGAAATAATCTTTATTAAAAAAAAATCCTAGACAATTAATACAGCTCCATCTAGTCCCACGTTAAGTAGAGCTTGTGTTATGGGTACTAGAAAATTGATATAAATACATAAATTTATTATATACTAGCTGTCCCGGCAAACGTTGTTTTGCCTTAAAATAAAAAAAAAATTAGGAGTGGACTACCCCTAACATTTAGGGGGATGAAAAATAGATGTTGGCCGATTCTCAGACCTACTCAATACGATTACAAAATTTCATGAGAATCGGTCAAGCTGTTTCGGAGGAGTATGGGAACGAAAACTGTGACACGAGAATTTTATATATATAAGAAGATGATATAGAAAACACATAGGGACCGTATCTTATGTTATGGGTACTAGACAACTAATATAAATACATAGATTTTTTACATAATATATAGAGAAAACACCCAGGGACCGTACAAGGAATCGAACCCGCAACCATAGAAAAGTGGTGAGCTAAGCCGCTAGATCACCTAGGTTATAAATAATGATTAGTATTTTTGAATAGTCATTCGTTACTCTTTCTTTAAACTACTAAAAGGATTTTCATGAATAATGAAAGCAAAAATTCTTTTTAACATGTGTCTGACGCTAAGAAGTTCTACATGAGGCATGTCAGACATATGTGTGACGTACGCGATTTGGATACAATATTAACAATACAGTGACTTAATAAGCTTAGCAATGCATGTGTCAGGTCAATGAAACTTTACAGGACATCAGAATAAACACGAAGGCTATAACTCGAAAATATATTATGTAAATTGGTCGAAATCTAAGTATATATAACTCTAAGGTGACTGACTGACATAGTGATATATCAACGCACAGCCCAAACCACTGGACGGATCGGGCTGAAAATTGGCATGCAGTTAGATGTTATGACGTAGGCATCCGCTAAGAAAGGATTTTGATTAATTCTATCCTCAAGGGTATAAAATAGGGGATGAAAGTTTGTATGAAACTTTGTCAATTTTAAACCGATCGGGCTGAAACTTTGCTTGCATAAAGCTACTATGACATAGGCATCCTCTAAGAAAGGATTTTGATGAATTCCACCCCTAAGAGGATAAATTAACGCGAGTGAAGCCGCGGGTAAAAGCAAGTAAAATAATAAATGACAAGTAAGTGTGATGCAGACAAAGTTACGCGGGTCATCTAGTATTATATAAACAAGAAAAGATGTTTGAATCATTATCTGACCTTATTCCAATAGTAGTGGTCTCCGGTGGCCGTGAGTCGCACGTGCACGCGACCGGTGGGCTGGAACTCCATCGACTTGCCCCAGAACTTGGTCTTGATCCTCGCCTCCTGCCAGAACGTCCAGCGGGAGGACTCCGCGTGGCAAGCCGAGATCGGCGGGTGATGCGACACCTGGAGGTAATTTTTTTTATGTTCATTTAAATGTTGTAAGTTTGGGCTGAAGCGTTCAGCGCGAAGGTCAACCTGATGTGGTATACCCGCCTATGCTAACGATTTACGCTGGCGGGGCACCAGTGGAGGATGATAAGATGAATATAAGGTCAGATCAATTACACATCGTGGTAAATTTACCAGGAATTTATCACGTTTTGTCTGTTATTTACTCCTTTTCTTAATATCAACTTTGGGACCTCTCAATTATTACATAAGCAGATTTATTACAATTATTTACTCCCCCCCCCCTCTCCATGCCCCTTGTCAGCAAAAGTAAGCAATGCTCTTACCCCCTCCCCCCATGCTTACGTAAATATTATTCAATTAATGTATTGTTTTTTAGAAAAGACAATGTGAGGGTTGCCATTCGTGTAAAAAATAAATAACTGCTGATGACGTAATCATCATCTAGACTCCCCCACCCCTCATGTCATCCTGACTAATATTATAAATGCGAAAGTAACTCTGTCTGTCTGTCTCGCTTTCACGCCAAAACTACTACACCGATTTAAATAAAATTTGGTACATATACCGATAGTCTAGACCCTGAGAAAGGATATAGGCCACTTTTTAATGCGAAAGTAAGCAATGCTCTTACCCCCTCCCCTCATGCTTACGTAAATATTATTCAATTAATGTATTGTTTTTTAGCAAAGACAATGTGAGGGTTGCCATTCGTGTAAAAAATAAATAACTGCTGATGACGTAATCATCATCTAGACTCCCCCACCCCTCATGTCATCCTGACTAATATTATAAATGCGAAAGTAACTCTGTCTGTCTGTCTCGCTGCCACGCCTAAACTACTACACCGATTTAAATAAAATTTGGTATACCGATAGTCTAGACCCTGCGAAAGGACTGCTACTTTTTAATGCGAAGAAAGGGTTGTAAGGGGTTGAAAGAGAAGATGAAACTTTCTATGGAAGTATCGTCATTTTTAAAGCTAGAAGCTTGACTCTTATTTTATGCTGTTGACTATCAAATTTGTACGAACTTTACCCTTAGGGGGGTACAATAAAATAGGGGATGAAATAGAAATTCCTCATTCGTCCTCTATCCCTTGCGTCGCGGGCACAGCTAGTCCAAAATAAGCAAAGCAAAGACCCCCCGTCCCCCCGTAGTGATTACGTAATACTTGAACGGCCCCTTTCACACAGTGCATCCATCTCTCAGCCGCTGAAGACGGATTGCTGCCCGGCACCGAAGCTGTGCAAGTTTCGTCCGCTGCCCCAGAAGGGGGAGAAAGCGACAGAGAGGACAGGAGTAGAAATAATTTGTAGGGGTCAAGAGAATGCGTGCTTTTCAGCGCGCATTCCCGGCAGACTCGGCCAATATAACCGAGAGGTTGGAATGGCCATGGGTTGGTGGAGTCCATCCATCTCTTTCTCGGCCTTTCTTTGCTCTTATAACCATCCACTCACATGTATCACCTTCCTTAAAATATTACATTCCATTATGTGCCATAAACAAAAAAATCCTTAAGACTAGTCTAACCTGCTCAGCAATGAACCGGAAGCCCTTATCATCTCGTATGCACTCGTACGTCTCTGCCAAGAGTGGGTTGAAGGGTTTGGAGGCTGCTCGGTGGGCTGATGAGGAGTAGGAGCTGACGGCGAACGCGGCTACCAACGACATCCGCTCAGAAGCCACCGTGCAATCCGCCGCGGCGTCCAGCAGCTCAGAATACTCCAACTCTTCGCATAGTTTCTGGATGGGATATCATGAGGATGTAGTATGTGAAGATTATATATAAGACTATATTATGCTTCAAAGATTCTAAATAATTATATATATAAATACGTGAAGCAAAAACTCTGTACCTCCTTTTACGAAAAAAGCACGGACTGAGGTATATGAAATTACACACACTTATAATTTATAGAATAGAATAGAATAGAAAATAATTTATTCAAATAAACTTAATTTAAGCACTTTTGAATAGTCATCATTCTTTTAATCTACCACTCGTTCGGAAAGCTGTCTCATCACAAGACGAACGAGCAAGAAACTTGTGTGTTGCTCCTATATAGTCTTATATAGTGCAGCATGCTAACATTTTTTTTTTTATTTCTAACTTAAATTTGCTGCGGAGGCACCAACCTGCAGCATGTTGAGTGGCTCGTTGATGGTGACGGGCATGGAGATCTGACTGAGGTCCTTGCCGATGTTCTTGTAGAGGAGGTTCCAGAGACTGGGCCCGCCGGGCGTAGGCCGCGGGCACGGCAGGCGCGAGCGGCGCGTCACCTGACTGGCCGCCGGGGGGCCCGGGGCCCGCGGGGCCCCTCCTGCGCCGGGCCCCGCCCCCGCCCCCGCCCGGGCCCCCACGCTGGGGCGCGGGGCCGCCGCCGGGGTGGCCCCCGACGTGGGCCCGTTCTGGTTCAGTCGTAGCGTCACCTGCTCCGCTGACATCACTGCTGACAAATCATTAATTATACATTACATTTTGTAATGAACTATTACTCAACACATTGATCGCTTGTGAGTACTTACTTTAACTTGCCATTTCCCACAAAAATGCATCAAAGTAAATTAAATAATCATATCTCTACATAATTTATTAAATATAACGATTAATATAAGATTTTTTTACATTTTATGAAAAAACTGGTAATGAATGTGTTAAGTCACAAACATTATTTGTTAATGTAGATAGATTTTATACAAAGCAAAGTACAGCTTTCTAATCAAAATCAGTGATTAAAAAGTCTTGACATTTAAGCATTTTTTTCATCAATTGATTATGACTCTACTACGGAACCCAAAAGCAGGTGCGATAGAAAATAATTCCGTTAAATTTCGAAGACAAATTGAGAATTTTAGACTATGGTTATGAATATGTAATTTATACTATGACTTTTATTATTTCTATTGCAGAGTAACGTGTTGACACTTACCATCGGAATTGTCAGAACTAGCGGACCCCTCCTCACTACTCAGCGAGCCAGCTTCTGATGATGAGTCACCACCTTCCAACTCAATTACACCACCCTGTAGACAAATTAAAGATATCAACATTTTTACACACACCCCGTTCAATTCAAAAGGGGGTATAAGTTACTACGGCCTGAGCCGAGGTTCGAACCCCTAGAAGTGTCCTCAGACTAAAATCGTATCCATCGGGCGGGAGTTGCCTTCAGCCGCTCCATAAGTCCTTCTGCGGGTTTGAAGTGCCATCTGCAGACCAACTGCAGCCAACAGCATTAGAATAATTCTAGAATTAAGTATATTTCACTAGCAATAAAATCAAATAAAAAGGTTGTACTAATTAACGAAACCTCCCCATTATCAAGAATTATTAATCATCAATCACTCAACCCAAGCTGTTTTATTTAACAAAACCCTCCATATTCAAGCATTATCCATCTATTTTATTTAACGTACTCCCCCTCCCCCCTTCCTTTATCAAGGATTAACAATCAATCATTCAACCCAACCTGTTTTATTTAACGAAACCCCCTCATCATCCAGTATACAAGTCAATCGATCACTCAACTCAAGCTGTTTTATTAAATAAAACCACCTATCATCAAGCTGTTTTATTTAATGAAACCCTCACATCCTCATGGTCAATCAACCACTATAATGGAACTGTGAGCTCACCTCATTGGCGGCTATAATCTCCGAGGACTTCAAACCGCTGTTGTCATGTTCTTCAGCGTCGAAGAACTCCGAAGCGGATACACACGAGGAGCTGTAGCTCAAGGATGTTGCGTGCCGCTTTATCTGGAGAATAAACGTGTTCATATTAGTGTTGGAATTATATATACAGCCATTTAGTTAGAAAAAGGTTATATATAACGAATGTTGTTACTTTATATATATTGTTAACCTACCAGGTTAACAATATAAATAAAGTAAAAATATGAATTATTTTATGGTAAATAAAGGTATTTATTTCTTCGATGTTAGTTTGTGACCACGGCTAGTGCAATCTAGTCGAAATGTTGAGAGAGGTAAACAATTTTATTTACCAAAATCATGTTAAGACCTGGTTAACAATATAAATGATATATATTAAAAATGAAAGTTCATTCATGTGAATGAATGAATAAATAAACTATTATTTGCAGTACAGCAGTATGAAATGAATACTTACAGCATACGAGTTGGGCCCCAATAATTCAAATGAATGAATGATGATTCATTTATTAATTCATTCACGTGAATGAATGAATAAATAAACATTTTCTGTCATTTGCAGTACAGTAGTATGAAATAAATACTTACAGCATCTGAGTTGGGTCCCATCGAGGATATTTCTGCGAGGTCAGACGCGTCGTGTATCCGGGAGAGGCGCGATCGTAACTCTGTGTATAAAACTTTACCAGTCATTATTTACATAAAAAGCCGACAAACGATTGTGAAACGAACTACTTGCCGAGGTTTTCGAAAGACTACAGCATGGGGTTTTCAAGGGTATATTAAAGGTTCTAAAGGGTTGGAAACGCGCACTTGACGCAGATGTATCAGGGGTCCATGGGCTATGGTAACCATTTAACATTGAATTGGGCCGTAAGCTTGTTTGTCAACATCGTAGTATAAAAAACGTTCATTAAAGATGGCCATCGACAGGGAATTCGTTCGTTCGTCGTTAAAATCCTTTCTTAGAGGACGCCTACGTCATAGCTTTATGTATGTAAAGTCTCAGCCCGATCGGTTTAAAATTGACAAAGTTTCATCCCCTTCGTGTTTATATTTTATTATTTTGTTGTATGGAAGATATCTATTTCTTTATTAATCAAAATTAATTCTTATTGGGATGCCTACGTCATAACATCTACCTGCATGCCAAATTTCAGCCCGATCCGTCCAGTGGTTTGGGCTGTGCGTTGATAGATCACTATGTCAGTCACCTTTGAGTTATATATATTTAGATTATTTGAGTAAACCTAGAGATAAAGTGTTTTAATTACGGTTATATGATCTAAATCTCGTGTTAAAGTTTAACAAAGAAAGAAGAGTGATGGAGTCTAACTGATGATGATTGAAGATTTGAAGGTGTCCTACCAGAGTTCTGATGCAGGGCAGAGGTGAGGTTGGTCCTGAGAGCCGCCAGCACGGCCCCGCCTGGGGCAGCCTCCGCGCCCTCCAGGGTCTCTACTGCCGCCCGCAGCCGCCCACGCTCGCATACCTGCAGAGCACGACTTATCTTAATAATAATCTATATATCTATACATATAAATAAAATTGGAGTGTCTGTTTGTAATATTGAAATAATCGTTTTCACTACATACATATGAATATAAATACGGTACATACACCAAAATAACATTTTTTATCATTTTTGTGTGTCTGTTTGTTCCGGCTAATCGCTGAAATGGCTGGACCGGTTTTGAAGGGACTTTTATTGGCAGGTAGCTAATGTAATAAGGAGTAACTTAGGCTACTTTAACTTTAGAAAAATTCGCTAATTTTTTTTTTTTAATTCCACGCGGACGAAGTCGCAGATACAGTCAGTTATTATTATTACATCTCAGGACAATTCTCACAGCGCTATCTAGTGCCAAGATAAGGGGGAAGGGGATTGTTAGTAATGTGGACTAATAACCTATTGGTAGACATATACCACGTCAGGATGACTTCTACGTGGCTTCCCCTGGAAACCATCGTGATAAATTTATGGTGAATTTACCACGGCCTGACCTGACCTCATGCTCATCTTATCATCCGCCACCGGTGCCCCAGCGTACTGACTACTGACCCTTTGCTAGTTATGTACCATGTCAGGTTGACCACCATGCAGTTCCCCTTGGAAGCCATCATGATAAATTGCCATTTGCCAAGATATACTGACTGACCTGACTACATGTTCATCTTATTCTCCACTGGTGCCCCTGATGGAGATATTCAGTGGATTAAACATATATAGCAGTAAATATAATTTGTTCTCGTTCCGATCAGTTGCACGTTACATATCAACTGTTACTTAGCAACATGATTACTTATTTGAAATGTAATGGAATAGACTTTTCTTCTAAAATCAAAGTGCCTAATGGCCAGTGTATACCGTAAGCGCAATCGGGTGCACCATTCCATTATCATCCACAAAAACAACTTACTAAAGTGGACAATATTGTCTTCAAGTTAGTCACCAAATCCTTAGCCAGCACCGAGAAGTCTTCCCTCAATTGGTGGTCTGGTGTTAAGCTGGTCAGCGAGGCGGGACCAGCCACTGTGCCTGTAGCTAGAGACTCCGCTCCGGGTAGAGACTGCGGTCTCGCCGCAGCACATGCTGTAATTCAAATACTGGTTAAAGCCAAAAACTGTATTGATATTAAATAATTAAATGATATAATTACGGAAATGTATCTATTTGTTTTAATATTTTTTTACGGATGTTTACTATTGTATATTTTATTTACTGAGACCACCAACGTTTAGGCATATAAATTGATACGGCTATTAAAAATAGGGGTTGGAGGTAGAAGGGTGAAAAATTAGGGTTGCATGTACTTTTTAATGCCATAACAAAAAACATTGTGTATAAAATGTATACCTAAAATGTTTTGGTATGGTCACCCTTATCATTTAGGGATATAAAAATAACAAAGGTATAAAAACGCCTACTTCCCAGATAGATAATAGATAACAACCTCATTCTCATTCTCAGACCTACAGAGTATACATATAAAATTCTATCAAAATCGGTCAAGCCATTTTGGAGAAGTATGACAACTAACATTGTGACGCGAGAATTTTATATATTAAAAGACGTGAAAATACTACACGTGTTCCCTTAAAAATACACAATCCTAAATTATCACCAACCCCTATTTTTTAATAGCGATATTAATTCATATGACAAAACAACGTTTGCTGGGTCAGCTAGTATTTTTATACAATATATTTGCGGCATCTATCTGTCTCTTTCTGTAGTTTGCTCAGACGCGAGACAGTTGCAAGTGTACTATTTTACACTTGAAAATAAGTGCATTTTCTTCACATAGTATAAAATGAAATCACTTCCGTTGTCTGTACGATTAAGTCTTTCAAATTACTCAACGGATTTTTATACAGTTTTGCCAATAGATAGTGATTCAAGAGGAAGGTTTAAAGTTATATTTAACACTAGCTGTGCCCACGCTTTGACTCGCATGAAATTTATAGCCTACTAGCTACTCGCCCTGGCTTCGCACGCGTGTACATGTATTATATACATAAATCTTCCACTTGAATCACTCTCTATTAAAAAAAACCGCTTCAAAATCCGTTGTGTAGTTTTAAAGATTTAAACATAGGGACGGACAGACAGCGACAGCGACTTTGTTTTATACTATGTAATGATTTAATTTAATTACTGTGAAGTTTGATCATCCGTTCAGTAGTTTTTGCGTTAAAGAGTAACAAACATCCATCCATACTCACAAATATGCGCATTTATAATATTAATAAGATTTTATATTACTTTTGTATTATTATATCGTTCTTTTTTATTGTTATCAATACATCTAAACATATAAATAAAATTGGAGTGTCTGTTTGTATATTAAAATAACCGTCTTTTACTACATTCATATGAATATAAATGCGGTACATACACCAAAATAACATTTTTTACAATTTTTGTCTGTCCGTCTGTTTGTTCCGGCTAATCTCTGAAATGGCTGGGCCGATTTTGACGGGACTTTTATTGGCAGGTAGCTGATGTAATAAGGAGTACCTTTTATTTTAGAAAAATAAAGTTAAATTCCACGCGGACGAATTCGCGGGGCCAGCTAGTTCAATATATATTTAATAATTTTTGTAATATTAAAGTATTTTGTATGCTACTTAGAATCCTTTCTGTCTGTACAACATATCTTTATGTGATCACGCATGTTTAACAAAGAATCTTGGATCTTTCTCAGAAATACAGCACGACAAGTTCATCAACAAATGTCTCACGTCTGCTCCCATCTACAATCACTGGTCAACACAAGTTTTGTTTCCTTCATTTTTTTCCTATTTTTACGGTTCCGAGTATGAAGAAAATACTGGGTGATTGCTAACAACTTAAATTTTTTATATGCAGTTTTTTATATATATATTATATATACATACATATATTATATGCACATTTTGACGTAAAAATATCGACTTCAATATTTCAATTCTTATTGACGAAGCCATATCGAAAACAACAGCAAAATATATTTCAGTGTCCAATAAAAAACGTAATTTGAACTTAGTAAAGTTAGCTGGAACTCAAACACAAAAACAAAAGAAAAAAAATATTGTTATATTTAAGGAATACGCGTTGATTCGAGGTAGAAACGGATAAAAATAGAAGGAAACAATTTTTATATTTTTGCTGGCCAGTGTAATGTATTTAAATATATTTCGCAATTGACATGAAACGCATATAAACATATAAATGACTTACAAGATAATAAAACACGAATAATCATTTGCAAATTTTGATGTTTCTAAATGAATGCTTTATAAATAAAGTAACCAAGAAGGATCAGCTTGCAAATATATACAGTTAATTATGAATACATACAAAACTCATATATACAATATCTGTATGTGATAATAATATATAATATATACAGGAGAATATGAAGATATATGTTGTAAAAATAAATGAAAATGGGCTGGAGAAAGAGCACGTTTGAAATATTATGACGGCCTCGGTGATTTAGTGGTTTAGCGCACCGCTATACTTGCTATGGTCGCGGGTTGGATTCCTCGCATGGTACACACATTTGTATTCATGAGTATGATTGTTTGTATCGATCTGGGTGTTTTCTATGTATATTATGTATATAGACAAGCCGTACAATTTCGAAAGAAAGAAAGAAAGAAAGAAAGAAAGAAAGAAAACTTGCACTCCGTACATATAGTCCTTATACAATAATGACGTCTAAGCTGTACTTTGATTAATTTAATTAATATCTACCAACCAGGGCCGCACTGCCCCTGTGTGCGAAGGCAATAGAGGCGCCGCGCGCCCCCATCAAATTTTATTTTAATTGAAACCAACAAAAGTAGCAAAAACTATTTCATACCTTATGCCATCTATCTAAATATATATAACTCAAAGGTGACTGACATAGGATCGGACTGAAATTTGGCATGCAGGTAGATGTTATGACGTAGGCATCCGCTAAGAAAGGATTTTGATTAATTCTAGCCCCAATGCCATAAAATACGGGATAAAAGTTTGTATGAAACTTGTCTCAGCCCGATCGGTTTAATATTGACAAAGTTTCATACAAACTTACATCTCCTACTTTATCCCCTTGGGGATAGAATTAATCAAAATCCTTTCTTAGCAGATGCCTATATCATAACATCTACCTGCATGCCAAATTTCAGCCCGATCCGTTCAGTGGTTTGGGCTGTGCGTTGATAGATCACTATGTCAGTCACCTTTGAGTTATATATATTTAGATTGTGGAATGAACTACCTGCCGAGGTTTTCTCACGAGACTACAGCATGGGGTTTTCAAGAAGGGTATATTAAGGTTTCTTAAGGGTCGGCAACGCGCACGTGACACCAGGTGTTCCAGGCGTCCATAGGCTATGGTAATCATTTACCATTAGACAGGCCGTATCTTTGTTTGCCACCATAGTATTATAAAAAAAATCTGATATTTGTATGTTTTGTGTAATGATTTTATATGATTTACTATTTTACACTATTATGGGAATGTATTAATAAAATGTAACTTAGAACCAACTCACTTTTGGAATATCTGTCACATTCTCTCAACGTCGTGGAAATGTACTGACACACTATTTTTGCCACTGTCACCACCACACCGCCACTGTCACTTGACATTTTCAGGACAACAATCCAAAAATACTATAAAGTACTCATATTATATCAAAACAATGTTAAACTAAACCTTCATCCAATAATAATAGAAACTAATATCATTAATACAATTAAAATAAAACATATAACCTTCTTCCAATAAAAACTCGTTTCATTATAAATTATTACAATCAAAATAAAACATATACGACTCCACAGTTTCTTTGTTTATAGCAATTTAATTGTAAGCGTTTAGTTTTAATGTAACTTTTCAATGCAATCAGTTACGTAGTGAAGTATGCATGTAAATGTACCGAATAAATTGAGTAACACAATAACTTTTATGTACAAACAAAAATAAACTGTACTAGCAAGTAATTATAACACAAAATTGCAACCACAGTGTTATTAAATGAATGGATTGTTTTAGACTGAGTTCATTTTCTTACTAAATTATATTAAGAACAAAGGATCGGATTGTACCAATTACTTTCGATGGCAAATTGATCTCTATTGCTATGTGTTAAGGTAGGAAGTCCGGCAAGATTATTGTGGTTTAAGATGAAGTTTGCAGACTGTAGTTTATCTTAGATAATGCCGACGTTACAAGGTCATATCGGCCCAAGATTACACTATATATGAAGCTATTTTTTTTCGTTGATTATAATGTTATTCTCTCTAAACACCTTCGAGCTCTACACATGACACACCTTGGTGGTACAGTGGTTAGAAATACTGATTCACCTTCATATGGTTGTAGGTTCGATTCCCAGATAGTGTACTAAGTGTGTTTCTTTTCATTGGTATTTTTCATGTATTACACGACAGCTCGGTGGTATAGCGGTTAAAAATACTTTTTTAAATATTCCTATGATTGTTGGTTCCTATGGTCAAGGGTTCAATTCCCGCATAATGTATACATGCATATGAATATAAATATCGTACATACACCAAAATAACATTTTATTTTAAAATTTGTCTGCCTGTTTGTTCATTCCGGCTAATCTCCGTAAAGGCTGGACTTTTATTGGCAGGCAGCTGATGTAGTAAGGAGTAACTTAGGCTATTTTTATTTTAGAAATTTTCTTTTATTTTATAAAAAGTAAAATTCCACGCGGATGAAGTCGTGGGTACAGCAAGTTATTTATACAAAAAAATATATCTAAATATACCTATCAGTCGTCTGGCACCAATAACAAGAAACGACTAGATGGCGCTGTTTGAATAGTCGTGATTTACCATCAGATAGGCCGTATGCTAGATTGCCAACATCGTGGCATAAAAAATAAGCCGAGTGCACACTGGATTTAAAAAAATATATGAATATTAAATAAATATTACGTATGTATTTACAAAAAAAAATCGAAGTATTTATATCAGTTGTCTAGTACCCATAACACAAGCTCTGCTTATCGTGAGACTAGATGGCGCTGTGTTAATTGTCCAGGGTTATGTATGTATGTATATGCCGTAGAAAAAGCACAGAGATGCAATGTCTTGCAAAGCTCGTATCGTTTCGGAAATACCATTGCTGGAAGGTGATTCCACAATGTGGTTGTGCGTGTATCTTAGCGAGTGAAAATCATTAAACAATGGTAACTACAGAAGTAACAATGATGATGTTTAATATTTATTATTATTTGTGATATCATGATATAGCATCAACATTCGAGCATTGGCTATGTGATGTATATACATAGTGAAAAGTGTACTAGTTGGGAAAACGGGGGAAAAATAAAATAAAATAACAATCTTACGAACTAAAGTAGAGGCCAGAAATGTTGAAAGAAACGCTGGAAGACAAACGAGAAAGTGTTCATTATATACTTTAAAAATGAAATTCAACATTCAACTATATATGTATTGATATAAGACTTATAATTAAACGTCACACTTTTATTATTGATTTTATAAATGGAACAAATATGTATTTGTTCTGTAAATCAGGTCTCGCGTTCTACATTCAACTATATGAGTATTGACATAAGACTTATAATTCAACGCCATATATCTATTATTAGTTAATACACAGAAAGAGTTCATTAAAAATTTAAAAAATGGAACAAATATGTATTTGTTGTATAAATCAGGTCTCGCGTTCTACATTAAACTATATCTGTATTGCCATAAGACTTATAATTGAATGCCATATATCTATTATTAGTTAATATATAGAAAGAGTTCATTGTAGATTTTAAAAATGGAATAAATATGTATTTGATGTATAAATCAGGTCACGCGTTCTACATTCAACTGTATATGTATAAACATAAAACTTATAATTCAATAACGTTATACTTCTATTACAGATTTTATAAATGGAATAAATATGTATTTCTTGAATAAATCAGATCTTGCGTTCTATATTCAACTATATAGGTATTGGCATAAGATTTATAATTAAACGTCATTTTCATCTATTAAAACGAACATATATTTTTTATTTAGGTTGAAAAGAAAGTGTCTGAAGAATCCATTAATTATGAAACTTATAATTTATGGACTAAATATCCACTGAACCTGCTATCTTATTAATTAATATATAAGATCTGTTCTGAGTAAATACCAATATTTTGTAAATAAACATTCTTTTCATTTCATATCCGACTGGACCTATTACGTCGGAACTGTCACTCGAATATAGCTAATATTATAATGAGTAACTTAAACTTAGGTTACTTTTATTTTAGAAAGTTTGCGTGATACAGTCATCCATCCATCCATCCAGACTTAGAAACTGACGCGTTATAATATAAGATTTATAGCAACACTAGCCGTATATAGCCGATTGCTCTACGGATTTTACGATTGTTTAAACGAGTCATGCCCATAAGCTTCATTTATAGGGCAAAGCAACAAATTGTAGCCAGACCGACATGCCTCAGCGATATCTTTGTGCATCGTGTTACGTGAACTAGTCTTGGTAGTTCGCGATCTAACTAGTTCGCAGATCTTTCGCTCTTTAGTTCGTTTCATAAAACAATATAGTTCTTATTTTTCGACGACGACGATGGTACTTAAGTTGTCTGTCCTGTACTAACTTAATAAACATAAAAAATTGACAATAACTTAACAAAATGTCAAACTAATAAAATTCGACAATAACATATATTTTTATTATTAAGTTAGTAGAGGACAGACAATTTAAGTACTATAGTCATCGTCAACCTCATATTGTATTAATCTACACATATAAATAAAATTGGAGTGTCTGTTTGTAATATTGAACTAAACGTTTTTTACTACATGCATATCAATACACCAAAATAACATGGAATATATATATAACTCTGAAATGGCTGTACCAATTTTGACAGGACGGAACAGCAGCTGATGTTGTAAGGAGTTGACCTAGGCTAGTTTTATTTTAAAAAATAATGTTTTTAAAAATAAAATTCCACTAGGACGAAGTCGCGGGAATAGCTAGCTTACTAATAAAGGCTATAACAGAATAGCAGAGTGGGTGGACTCACTGCCGCCTGTCAGTTATAGAATGTTTCGTCTCGATCATTACTTTTCAACATTGTAAACGGCAATTATTTTTATTTCTTTTTAAATTTAGAGACTTTTGTACCATCTAAGTACATGCCAGTCCCATTGTACCCTAAAACTAATCTCTCCATTACCTCACCAGTGAACAAATTGCATTAGCCGCATTGTAATAGTTTATTATTTGAGACAAATAAAGATTACTATAATTATCTCATTAAATAAAATAAGAACAGAAGAGGGAAAACGATAAAACAGAAAGTACTATAATAAAAATATATATATTTTTAACCTTATATGCAGTCATAAAACAAGAATTTTAAGGGCAGAGGTATCCATACTGCTTTCCGCTGATTCGTGAGCGAACGAACTAATACGCAAAAGAGCTGCGAACTAAATAGAGCGCTCAGAGAATCGAACTATTATTGCGCAAGACTAGATGGCATTTTGTTTTACTGTGTTGCCATGCTTACGCGGAAAAATAAAACTTACCAATTTCGTAGAATCCTTGTTTAGACATAATGTTCAAAATTATTCACACCAATTAAAACGCCAATGTATTAAACAAAAAAATATTGAATTTTATAAAAACATAAATAAATTACAAACACGATTTGTGCATATAGGTACAAAAAACAAGGTAACAAATATCTTAGTTTCGCTATTATATCGCCTTGTTTGTGGCAACACTGGACAGTAATTCAGGCAGGAGTCGGGTGTTGGAATTACGTTAATATTACCTAGAAACCAAAGTTAATAATTGCATGGTACAATTTTCTAAGTCTAACAAGTCTAAGTTAATTTTTTATATACAAGAAATATTTTCTTTAGTTATTTGTATTCACGTTTGTTTGAATACAAACTACTAAAATGGATAAATATCTATACATATAAATAAAATTGGAGTGTCTGTTTGTAATACTGAAATAACCGTTTTATAAATACGGTACATACGACAAAATATTTTTTATTATCAACTTTTGTCTGTCTGTCTGTTTGTTCCGGCTAATCTCTGGAATGGCTGGACCGATGTTGTAGCTGATGTAATAAGGAGTAACTTAGGCTACTTTTATTTTAGAAAAATAAAGTTAAATTCCATGGGGATGATGTCGCGGGAACGGCTGGTTAAAGATATAAATTTGAAGTTTGTAGTCTTAGAAAATTGTATCATCATCTATAAAGACAACATGTAAGCGGGTATCTTCTTAGGATTTCGCTACACTAACACCTTCACGTCTAACATGTAGAGGCAAAATGAACTGTATTTGAGGTGTAAATAAGGTCGCTTACCTATGGGCAGGGAAGCCGCCGAGTTTGGTATAGAGGACGCTCCCCCTCCAGGTGAAGGCGGCGCAGTGAGTGCTGATAGTGCCTGCAATTGTATTATTATATCACAATGAGTTATATTAAAATGAGTTATATTAATGAGTTATCTAAAATGACTCATATTTAACTCAATAAATTTATTAATGAACACATTTGTATTGTATTTAAAATATTTATTTACTTTTAAGGATCACCATAGGATATAACATATCGTCGGTTGAATAGAAAAATGGCAGTATTCAAAATGTAATTTTTTTTTACAAAACAAGCACTTAATTTTTTTTTTTATTTATTTAAATTATTTTTTCCTTACAAATTTACAGAGAAGTATTATATATCATTTTAAAAGTATTTAGATAATGATTAAGACGGCGTGGTTAATTTAATTTACTTATATAAAAGGAGGCAATTCTAGCTTCTAATTTTGAAAAATGTCATTTTTCTATTTAATTGACGATGTAATAATACAAATAGAAATGAAATGAAATGTTCAAATAAAAAAATGATAAATTATAAAAACAAACATAATTTAATAAATCTATACATATAAATAAAATTGGTGTGTCTGTTTGTAATATTGAAATAACCGTTTTTTACTACATGCATATGAATATATATACGATACATATACCAAAAATATAATTTTTGTCTGTCTGTCGGTCTGTTTGTTCCGGCTAATCTCTGATATGGCTGGACCGATTTTAACAGAACTTTTTTTGGCAGGTAGCTGATGTAATAAGGAGTAACTTAGGCTACTTATATTTTAGAAAAATAAAGTTAAATTCCACGCGCACGAAGTCGCGGGAACAGCTAGTAGTAAATATATACTGCAATAGTTAAGGTATACAAATTGAAAACTGTCATATATAAATAACGTTATTTGTAAAAAAAAATAATTTTCAGCTAAAATCCATCCACACTATAATAACTTTTTTTCTCTATAGACTACATCATGGGGTTTTTCAAGAAGGGTACATTAAGGTTTCTTAAGGGTCGGCAACGCGCACGTGACGCCCCTGGTGTTTCAGGCGTCCGTAAGCAGCGGTAACTGTTTACCATCAGATGGGCTGTATGCAAAATTTCTCAGCTTGTTCTATACTATAACACGTATGTATTATACATGTAAACCTTCCTTTTGAATTATTCTATCTATTGTTAAAAACTGCATTAAAATTCGTTGTGTAGTTTAAGATATCTATACTAACAGTGGAAGCGTCTTCATTTTATAATACGTAAAGAGGACTATCAAGTATCTATTACCATAGTATGCTGAGCTAATTTACTTTAATTTCTATTATTTGAGGTTGCATATCATAAAGATGTCAATTCATTTTAAATGAAATCAAAAATAATTTATTCATGTACACATTTTCATCGCTTACATCCACATTACATCGTCCAGTTCAATATACAGATTCAATTGAGAAGAACTGGTAAGAAACTCAACTAGAGTTTACTTAACTTTGATGTAACAAACATATTTCACATTTATAAGTTCATTATACAGATTCAATTGACAAGAACTGGCAAGAAACTCAACTGCGGGCTAAAAAGGAGTATCCAGAGCCGTAAAACATTAATAATAATAATAAAAAGGATTTTTTACGTAATTTACTGAACTTTGATGTGACAAACACAGTCATTTCACATTTATATTATTACTAGCTTTTGCCCTTGGCTTCGCTCGTGTTAATTTATGCCCTTAGGGGTGGAATTTATTAAAATCCTTTCTTAGGGGATGCCTACCTCATAATAGATTTATGCATGTAAAGTCTCAGCCCGATCGGTTTAAAATTGACAAAGTTTCATACAAACTTTCATCCACTATTTTATCCCCTTGGGGGTAGAATTAATCAAAATCCTTTCTTAACGGATGCCTACGTCATAACATCTACCTGCATGCCAAATTTCAGCCCGATCCGTTCAGTGGTTTGGGCTGTGCGTTGATAGATCACTATGTCAGTCACCTTTGAGTTATATATATTTAGAAATACGGATGTTGTTCTACATTAGTGTTTTGAAGCGTGGTACATACAACATTACAAATCAAGCGTCAAGCGTAACATATAGAGACGAGAACAAACAAAAGCAATTATTATATTCACTTTTACATCGCACATTTTGTATAGTACAGATGACAGTCCACAATTTGAAACCTTAAAGTTATAACAAAATTGTAAACAATAGCAAGTAGTAAAGTGTATATATTATAACTAGCAGATCCAGCGACACGTTGCAGTGGCTAAGGTTCTTGAATAAGATAATATTGCGACTATAAATTGAGATGTAAGCTATCCTATCTTTCAAGTTGTATCAAATTGCATACAATGTGCAAATCAAATTTGCAATCGGTCCAGTAGTTTAAGAATCTATCGCGGACAAACAACGTGACACGTAATTTTTATATATGAAGATTTACTAACATAGTTTGTAAGCTATTTAGTAACATAATATGGATGTAATCCGAATGAAATAAAATAAATAAATAGAATAAAGGGCTATTATTTTATTGATCCCATTACGTCCTAAATGACCGGAATTTGGCATTCAAGTTTGAAATCCTGCCATACAATGAGTGCGGGTAGCATAAAATCTGGAACCACCGTCCTTTAAGTTTTCGAGGCTATTCTTTCGAATGTTTAAGTTTAGAATTGTCTAGAATAATCTTTAACCTTGAAAAAAATTATAACAAGCCTAAAGATATTTCTCCATTTTTAGATTCAAAATGTTTCTATAACAAACCTATCAGAAAAAGATATAAAAGAAAAATATCTCCATTTTTAGATTCAATAAAGATGTTTACATTCAGCCGCTTCATTACTCGCGCCAAACCGATATGAATGTAAAAAAAGTGCCAGTCCTTAGAAACGCGCACGAAAAACCGACAAAAGCGCCGGGAAAAATAGTGTTTCCTGCGTGTTTAAACTCTCGCGCTTCACTTAACTGCCTACTCAGCTGAGTGTTTTTAACCGTTACTTTTCCTTATTTCTACATTTTTCGATTCATAAACACATTTTTATGAATTTCTATTCGATTCGACCAAACCAATTAAGTGATCCGATACTAAAAGAAAAATATCCTGCTTCAACAAATAAAGCTATCCTGGCCGCACTCATTGTACTGTTACAGAGAGGGTCAATGACAGTTAAAAAAAATACACAGTTAAGCAGAAAAGCGCGAGTTTGGTCTTAACCGAAACTGCGAGTAATTTTAAAGGAATGTATGAATTGGTATTGTCTTATTAATACAGCTAACACGGCGTCTTCAGAACTGTTCTTAGGAAGTGTTTGTAAAACTATAACAGTACGGCAACAGTTCAAACTTGAGTACCAAATTTGGATCGTTTAGTCCGTAATTAGTAAATAAATTAACTAAAAAATCATGGTAAATAAGCCGAACTTAATGCTAGAAACATTTTACCAGTTAATCTTTGGGATGATTGGTAAATAAAGAAGTATCTTAATTAAATAACAAAAGATAATAGTTAAAAACAATAGCTGCCGGTACACGACACGTTCTTTCACGCGCGGGAAAGCCAGCACGCGCATCGTGAGTTTATTTTATTGTGAGTGAGTGAGTGAATGAGTGAGTCACACACTGAATGAGTAAAGTTTATATTTTAGTTTATTATCGTGTTCACTAGCGATTGCGCCTATTTTTCATGTTATTTAAGATTCTTTTATCCATTTCGGTTATCGTACAGTTCTTTTCTCCAAATAACGTTAAAAAATTATGAATTATCAATAACTCTATAATTATCCCTTTGATTCATAGTTAGATGTCCGCCATTTTGTAAAAATAATTGATTATTACAAAAAGGCGCTAAAGCACGCACGTTTTAAGGACGTGGGAATGCGGGAGATGGCTGCCAGCGCGGTGTTTCTCGTTCTCTCTGTCTACATTTACATGGTCATTCATTATTGTGTGAAAGTCGATTCGCGCGTGAAAGAACGTACATGTAAAGACAGCTAATAGATATGGGACACAGTCACCTAGGTACATAACATAATAATTGCATTTAATAATGTCTAGTAAGACAAATTCAATATTGTCTACTAGGCACTGCTGTATCTAAACTGTGTCACCCCACCTTACATTTTCCTATTTTTATTTAGTATACAAGATCATTATTTCTATGTACATATTGTCAGTTTATTATCATCTGTAATATACATCGTCTCGACCAGCAACATCTTATTAATTACCCGCAACAATAGACATATAATTATTATTACAAACATATATATGTATATATATTTGACTCATTAACTATTAAAGGATCAAATTAATTAACTAAAACGATCGTATATAAGTGACATTATATAACGAACTTTAATGATTCATCTTTCGATTTATATCGTTCATTCTCGTAGCGTTGTAGTAAATCAATTGAGATAGGTAGTCGGTTCGATTCTGTGGTATATAAAATGTATATGGTTCAATATTTACCATATGGGAGTTGGACGAGTCTACGTGCGGTGGCGCGAGTTCCACGGACGCGCATTTGCTATTCGATTTCTTTTTGCGCAATCCAAACTTGCGCCGGTCTTTTTTGACATTCGGCGAGGCGCCTTCTAGTGACACCTGCACGGAAATATACACACTACTGCAAATCTAATATTAGTACCACTACTACTAACATCATATAGAGATAACATCACTTTAGTCCTAGTGGTTTAATGTATAAGGGTAGTTGTAATTGGGTAATTTTAGAAAATATTGTAACTGTATAAATTTCTTTTCGTGTAACGCAAACTTGCGTCGATAATTTTTGACATTCGGCGAGGCGCCTTCTAGTGACACCTGCACGGAAATATACACACTACTGCAAATCTAATATTAGTACCACTACTACTAACATCATATAGAGATAACATCATTTTAGTCCTAGTGGTTTAATGTATAGGGGTAGTAATTTTAGAAAATATTGTAACTGTATAAATTTCTTTCCGTGTAACTCAAACTTGCGGCGATCATTTCTGACATTCGACGAGGCACCGTCTAGTGACACCTGTACGAAAATATACACACTACTGCAAATTTAGTATTAGTACTACTACTACTAACATTGTACAAAGACACCCTCAATTTAGTCCGATATTATTTATAGGGGCCAGTACAGAACAAATCCTTATTCTATTTATTTTTGCGCAACACAAATTTGAGCCGGTCTTTGACATTCGGCGAGGAGACATCTAAATGAACATATTCACACTGCCATTAGTACTACTACTACTAACATTATACAAAGAATTTAGTCCTAGTGAATTTATATATACCTAGTAATTTAACAAAATATTGTAACTGCATAAAAATCTGATTAAATTTATTTTTGTGTAACCCAAACTTGCGCCGAATTTTTTTGACATTCGGCGAGGTGCCTTCTAGTGACACCTGCACGGAAATATACACACTACTGCAAATCTAATATTAGTACCACTACTACTAACATTATACAGAGATAACATCATTTTAGTCCTAGTGACTTTATAGGGGGTAGCAGTTTTAGAAAATATTGTAACAGTTGAATGTTTTTAACTATTCTAATGCTGTTGGTCGCAATTGGCCTTTACAGCGCTTTCAAACACTAGGGGGCGAGTGCAGATGGCACTTTAAACAGATCTTATGAACTGGCTGTACAGTGTACACTAAGATAAAATTCAGGACCTACGAACGGTTTCTTAAAAAGAAAACAGAAAGCTACATACTTTTTACATTGTAATTAGTTTTCTGTTTCAGTTTATTATCATGACTGTTATAAATTTCTCGATGTACTTTACAAGGTACCTGTTCCAATATATACTGAATAAAAAGTCCGGACTGTTCGCCATATTGCTGTTAATTAGTAAATTATTTAAAACATATTACATATAGTTTAATCTTGAAGGTTCTATTCCCAATGTTTCTTAGTATCTTGGTATATTTTGGTTACACTAGATGCATTTTACTGTACAGTTTACAATACGTCCACTTCAACTTGAGCTATCAATTGTACCTGGAACGTAACCTACATTAGGTTGGTCCTAATTTTCAAATATCTTTGTATCTATCTATATACAGGTTATCACAAAAGTCTATAGATACTATATAGATAAACCGAAAAAATCGTCGTTATGAAAGTATAGGTCTTTAAAAAAAGGTAAAAAATCAGCACCCTGTAGTGATTTTTGATATTTTAATCTTGTTGCTAGAAATTATAACTTATGCGGCTTTACTTTTGGAAATTACTTCGCCCTGTGGTTAAGAAACTATAGGTGTATAAAAAAATGCTTAAAATCAACAACCTGTATAATTCATTTTAATTTTGTTGCGAGAAATTGAATCTTATGCGGCTTTTTTTTGGTATATAATGAGTTGTACTCTGAGTGTTTTCGGTTTATCGTTTACTTTTGGGACACTTTGTATATATATACACCCAGTATATATTATTGCATTGCTGAGCGTAGTAAACAAAAAGTGAGCTATCGCGGGACGCCTAGTACATGTGAAACATTGAAATAAATAAACTATTCACTTTCTAAAGACAATTGTTAGTTACGGTGTTACATAATTAAGACCTATAACAACCCAGAACCTTTCAATAACGCCATCTAGTTCCAAACCTATGTACTAATGATGTTAAACAACTCACAAACATTTAAATACATACACAATATACATAGAAAACACCCGGAACCAATATAAACGATCATACTTATGAATACAAAATTTTAGTATTACGCGAGAATCGAACTCGCGATTGAAGTAAGACGGTGTTATTACTAGACCATAGAGGCTATTTCTCTCTCGAATATTTACTATGTTTATCTGTTAAGTTGCAATTAGTAATCTCCGTCCCAAATATAAGAAATATTTATTGATACCGACAGAGACAGCTGATAGTGAAAGAGACAGATATACTGCGCCGACGAACAGTGTGACAAAGACAAAGCAATGCAACAGACAGAGACAGATGTACGTACGTCGGTGTCGTGATGCACTTGTTGTTGTAATTCCAGCGCGTCCAGCAGCCGCTGTAACTGCTGAACTGAGAGCTGCGCTTGACCAAGCTCTTTTGACGCGTTCTCAAGAGGACCACCTGACTCTGCAACAGTATAATACGTCGTGTAATTTTTTTAATAATAAAATCGTAAAGAATAATAATATACTTTGTTATTTGCTTATGTAAGTGATTTGTTAAAATCTTATAAATGAAATAACATAAACCGTATTTTTTTTTAAATAACTGCAATGGTAGTTGTTGTTCCATTTGCTGGTATCAATCGTGCCTTTATACATGAACAAAAAAAAACGCAGTAAAAAAAACAATACAAAAAAATATACCCAAGTATCGTGAACTTTATAAATGAACAAAAAAACTAAAAATAATATCAAAAAAACTATGAAAAACCAAAATAAAAAATAACAAAAAAAAAATGTCTTCTTAAGATAGGTTAAGTTATTTTTATTTTATTACTCTTAGCTTTTTATTAAGTATCACGTCCTAAGAGGCTTAAATCCAGTCTTCCGGGGATTGTTGTCCCCGGATGACGGAGCAAAGGGGCCCAGAAAGACCAACCTTTACCTTCCTAAATGGGCCTGGATGATCAGTCCTTCATACATGAACAGTACCGTCGGCCGTGGCACATATGTTTCAGCAATAGGAGGACTATGATATCATGTTTTCATTTAACTAATAATATAAGTCACATCAGGTCAGCTGGTAGAGACCACTTTCAGATCTCTGAATGAGTGTCCAATCCACCTTTACTTACATTATCTTTAATTTCGATGTACCTACTATTTGAAGTTACAATTAAAGCGTAAAAATAGCACTTAAGTTTATTTTTATAACCGCCACATGCATTAAAAATATTTATTACAAACAAAGGTTAAGGTTCCTCGCACAATACAAACATTTGCATTTATGAGTATGATTGTTTGTATTGGTCTGAATGTTTTCTATGTATATTATGTTTTTTATTATTAATAATTATACATATATAATACTTACAAAATAAAAAAAACTTATTAACACGTTAAAGACCGCATGCCCACCGGTGGGTCACTCCGCAACGAAAGTTTTTTTTTATAACACAGGGGACAATGAGCATGCGGCTCACCTGATGGTAAGTGATTACCGCCGCCCATGAGCACCCGCAACACCAGGGGAATTGCAAGTACGTTGTCGGCCTTTTAAAAAGGAATAAGCTCTTTTCTTGAAGGTTTCAATATCGTATCGGTTCGGAAATACCATTGCTGGAAGGTGATTCGACAATGTGGTTGTGTTGTGCAAAAAGTAAAGTTACTCGTAATGACCCGTGGGCACTTTAATTGAAATAAATCTAGGAGTTAAATAATGTCTACCTCAAATGATTGTACACTAAAAACATATTTAAATAATTATATACGTAATCATTACATAGTATAAAATAAACTCGCTGTCGCTGTCTGTCCGTCCCTATGTATGTTTAAATCTTTAAAACTACGCAGCGGATTTTCACGCAGGTTTATTTTATATATAGAGGGATTCAAGAGGAAGGATTATATCTATAATACATGCACACCCGTGCGAAGCCGGGGTGAATAGCTAGTTAACAATAAAAAATGCCGGCCCCTATGTGAGGAATAAGATTTTTCAATGCGATCTTCAAAGTGTTAAAGAATTTGTAACCGTTTGTTTAGTTTCAATTACACAATCTGTTTAGATTGGGAATAAACCGACTCGTGTAGATAGTCCACGGTTATTATTATTTATTTCGGGTTCTATTAACACAGACACACGAAAGCTGAGCTTTTATGTATACAGTTTATTACCATGACAACTAAATTAAACTTAACATGCTTACGATTAAAAAATAAGAAAAAAAAATGCGTGAACTCTTTTATTATTAGGCAGGGTTATATATTTTAATTATATTTTTATTATTTGACCGTAGGAGTGTACAATGGACAAAGTTTGACATGCACTATTGATATATATGTGGAATCTACTTAAATCTCTATTAAGTATTGTTAGTACGAGAAATGATGGTTAATATTATTGACTCAGCATATCAAGGAACTATAAGGGAACATGTGCGAAAAATTCCAGTGATTACTATTATTAGGTGCTTTAGTTTGAAAATATGATTGATAATGCATATCATTACATAGTATATAACAAAATCACTGTCGCTGTCTGTCCGTCCCTATGTATGCTTAAATCTTTAAAACTACGCAACGGATTTTAAGCGGTTTTTTAATAGATAGAGTGATTCAAGAGGAAGGTTTATATGTATAATACATGTACACCTGGGCGAAACCGGGGCGAATAGCTAGTTTTATATATTTTACGATACATACTAGTGCAAATATATACAGTGAATTAATTAGTTGCGTAGCAGCGTTAGACATATAAAATGAGACTTTATCTTCTTGTAGATAGCACACAGAATTGAATCTACAGATACTATTAAGAAGAACGAGTCAGATATCTGACATATCATTACCACAGGCAGCAGACTCAAAGTGTATTCTATGTAATATCTAAAAAGGCTCATTTTACTATGATAAGGTTAATTGTTAAAACGTAAGCACTTGCGAGGCTACAATATCGTCTTCTCTGGTCATTTAACCAGAGTTCGTACCCAAGATCCAGCTGGCCAGTCGACCACCGGGTGTTCCAGAGACGAAGCCAGCTTGTGGCCCGCGCAGCGGCTGGGACGTGGGGCTTATTAGCCCTATGGAAGATGTAAGAAGACTATTACTGATTCTTTAGATAAGTGCAAAATATGTTTTTTAATTCCTGCTTGCCTACTATTTTAATGGATCAATTCTTACTTAATTTATATTTACCAAAGGATATACTGGAATTACCCTTAAATAAATTCAAAACATCTGCTAAATCATATTTACTGAGCAAAGCCTATTAGTCTATTACTTGAACTCATGCATGGCAATAGTTGTTCCTGCACTGGATTTTCATTTAATGTTAGACATAGACACTTAGATAAATATACATTGTAAATAAACTGGCTTAAAAAAAAGTAATTCAATTGAGTTTCTTGCCAGTTCTCCGCAATTGGTTTTATATGCTGAATTGGATGGTATGGAAAAAATTATAATATAAAAAATTTTACGTTCTACATGAATAAATGTTTTTTGAATTGGAATTTATTATTTTACTTAATTCAGCTACCATATGTATGTGTGAGATCACAAATATTAAGCGTGGAAATCTGACCATCGCTACTCGAAGCGTTACCTTCCTTATGAGTGATCAATTTCAAAGCGTTATTAAATCTACACCCATATTGCGATATGGGCTTACAATAGTTGTGAAAAACCTGATTTTTTCTTTCTAAAGCTTAACTAACTACAATGACCTCGACTTCGTATCATCATCATCAACTGCTTCTTCCTTATCCCATTTATTTGTGGTCGGCGTAATATGTTTTTCTCTTCCATTCATCTCTGTTCGTAGTCATCTTATTTACTCCTTTTCTTATCACATCATCTTTCACACAGTCCATCAATCTCTTTTTTGGCCTACCTCTGCCCTTATAACCATCCACGATCATATGTAACACCTTCCTTAAAATATTATCTTCATTCCTACGCATTACATGCCCATACCATGTTAGAGGATTACTCTTCAATCTTTCTATACTTCGTATACTTCGTTAAATTTATAGTAATTTATTTTAAACAGCACTATAATCTGAGAGACCTTTAAATAGAAATAGTGTTGTAGTTTGTTTGCGACATTGATACTAAATTATTTAAATTATACTAACCGGAACAATAAGATGGTTCACTAGTGCATCTATATATAGTCATCAAGTCATCGCTTCTTTCTCGAATATCAGATATAGAATCACACTCTGAGCTAGTTTTGAATATATCTTTTTTTGTTACGGCTAATGGGTAAATTTTGAATCTGTTCTTAACCTTATTTTCTTTATTCAGATGGTACGATTGGTTATCAGTTTGTGATTGAATTGACACTTTCATTGAAGGCGTTAAAAGTATTATTTGCTTGATCAAATCTTGTCCCGCTTTTGGTTTCCTTTCAACTTTTAATTTCTTGCTTACAGAGAGATCTTTGTTTTGTTTATGCTTTCTTAAATATTTTTGTGTCGCTGTACAGATAGTTTGTGATTTTAATCTGTTCAAACTGCGTTTTATTAAAGTACTAGCACACTCTTTGGTAGGTAATTGTTAATATTTGGGTAGATTTACTGGTACATGTTCAGTAGTTTGTAAATCATTTTCACGCAATGCTTCAGTTCGAGGCATTTTAACTTTAACAGAATCTGTTGCAGCAATAATTTTATCTTTTTTATCCAATGATTCAATTTCGAAATCGCTATATGTTTGTACTTCACAGCATTTTTCAATTTTCAACAAATTGATTGCACTAACACATTTATCATGAACAAAATTTTGTTTGTATGGACAATTCGAAGTACTTGTTATTATATCATTGCGAAGTTTACTAAAACAGGCACTTTCATTACATTTTGCATCGTCTTTAGATAATTTAGTGAATTCCTCATCATATATCTTGCCTAAAAGACTCAGACCTTGTAAATTACTTTGATTTCTCAAATCTTTTTCATGTTTTTTTCTCATTTTCATGTACAGATTATTTAAATCTTTATGCAATCCTGGCAAGTTTCTAGCGAGTAAAGTCAAATTCTCTAAAAGCAACAGTATGAATTTCTCATCAATAATCTTTGGGGTTGTGTTGGCAAAGACTGCATATGCGTTCGAATACTTATTAGATTTAATTATAGGTGAAGCATTTGTTTCTGAATTTAAAGTAATAATACCATTGCACTCCTGCGCCCTAACTTTTTTCTTACTTTGAAACTTTGTAGTTACATTATTCTTCTTAAAGGCAGACATTATGTAGCATGATTGGGGATCTTTGTTAGAATGTACACATTTCGATTCAGCGACATCTTTCTTGAAGAATTTACTGCTTTTGAAAGACACGTCAAAAGAATGTCCGCTTTCATGAATGCTCCGACAAAAAGATTTAGAGGTGGCTTCGCTACTACTCGAATAAGGTTTTAAATCATGATTCAGATTATTGGGATCCAAATCAAAGGTAGTTTTGAAACCGTTATGGTTAGGTTCAAATGAGTTATTAAGACTATAAGGAGGAGGAGCATTATGTAACAAACATTCCGTTTTGGCATGCGATCGAAGAGGTTTAATATCATTAGTAATTTTTAAACTTAAATGTTGTCGTTTATATTCACCAATATCAGGAGGTTTTTCTTTAAGTTTGATAGTAATTGACATAATATCCTTTATTGAGGGATCCTTATCCATCGATATATGTTCTAAATCGTATTTAGACAAATCTATTACAACACATTTATCGTCATTTTCATTAATCAAATGTTTTTCTGGATATTCGTTCATTAATCTTCCTAATTCATCTTTTTTTATACCGTCTATATTATTGGTTAATTTTGTATTTTTATTCTTATTCAAATCATTATTAACCTTTGAAAATAGTGTTGTTATTTTTTCAAGTACATCCTTAAGATATTGTTGCCCGGAGTTAACGGGTTGACTTTTGTTTATTTCATTATAATTATTGTCTGTTTCATTATTGGTAGTTATAATACTTTTAGAAAATTTCTTTTGTATGGAATCAACTTGAACATCGCATATAGGATTGTCTAGAATTGACTTAGCCTTAAATTGATCATTAGATTGAGAACTACTGTTAGTTATACTTTTACTACTATCATTACGTAAGACACCTAGATAGGCGTTTAGAAATTCTTTAGCAACATCTGGTTGTATGGACGCTTCACTAATAAGATGATTGATTGTCTCCTGAATTTTACACAATTCTGTTGATGAATTTGAAATTTCGACCGACGATTCTTCATTAGATTTATTTTCGTCCGATTTTTTTGATAATTTCTCCAGATTATTTATAAGTGTTTCAGTAATTTTTATATCTCTTTCTTTACTACGGCTACTGAGTACTGTCTCACAAATATAGACTGTGTTTTTAAGCATTCTTTCTAGCTCTTGTATACGACGATCTCTTTCAAAACTTGCTGTATCCAGTGTAGGACATTGTAAAGGAGGTTTACTAGTTCCATTTCTTTTATTGGGTATTCTTAACGATTTATATGTATTCGTGGATACTTTGTAAGTTCTAAATTTATCAATACCACTAGTACCATGGAATTGCGTAGCTTTAGTAGAATTTCTAATTATTAAACTAGATAAGTTTTTATCATCAGTGAAATAATTATTAGACTGTTTATCAATAGATTTAGCATGTTGTACGGCACTTTTAAAATTGTCTGTAGCAGTATTTTTTAACCAATACTCTAAAAGAGTTCTAAATAAAATTTTAACTGGATGTGTATCGTTTTGATTTAATTTAAGGTCATAAAGTTCTTTGACTACTTTATTCACATAGATTTTAATCATATTATTATCAGTCTTGATATTCTTGTTCTTTTGGAACACTGATAGCATTAGTTGTTCTGTAATTTTATCGTATTCGGACACTGTCATGGTATCTTGCAGCGATTTGTGTTCTTTATGCGGCATAACGACTTCAACGTCGTTAAGATCCTTCGACATAACATCACATTCTTCCTCATTATTGTTATCTCCAATCAATGAGCGAGGATTTTGAATTTTACGTTTACTTAACAACATACATTTACTAAGCGACCGAAAAAGTTTGGGTTCTTCAATAATATTTCTGTATTTGAAAAGATTGGTGCACTTTTTGCTTCTTTTCATTGGTGAATCTACATAACTAGGACAATCCCTTTTTTTACGAGAGAAGAAAAAATATGCAGCTGTAGGATCAACTTTATTTTTCATATAAGGATTACGTTTTGCATATTTATTTTCAGAAATATTTGCATCAATATCTTTAAATCTTTCAGATTGCGCCAATGTATTTATTTGATCTAAGTCCAAATCTGTAGATTGTATTTGTTTTTCATTATTAGTACCACCTCGAGAGAAGATTGGTGAGTTGCAGTCCTTAATATTTTTTATATAACCGTTAACACAATTTATTGAATCCATGCTTTTATAGTTTAGGTTGTATATTTTATCGTCGGAATTTTGAAATGGTTTTACATTAATATAATTTTCTTTACCCTCTTCATGGGGAAATTTTGCTGGTGTTTCATCTATACCGTCATGCCTTGAATAATGAAAATTTATTTCTCGAGTAGGGATATAGGAATAGGATTCAGTTTCTTCAACAGATGTGTGGGATGAGGTTTCTAGGGCCGTATGGGAAGTACCTTTAAACGATTTCGATTTAGTTATTACGTGTGTATGACATTTTGTTTCAAGTCTACAAGGAATAAAAATTCGAATTTATTGTTTGGCTTGTCTTTTACAACATAAGTTTATTATATATATAATTATAAAATAAGAACTAACTAGAGACAAACATACAACACACAAAAGGAAAAGAAGGAAATCTCGAAGAAATACATCATACCATACCTTTTAGTTGTAATAGAAACCTAATTTCCACTTATTATAGCTCAGTTTTATCTGCATTGTAAAATCTCAAAATTTGGAACAACATATACTTATTAAACTATTAACAGTACATGCTAGAGATACTATCCACGGAATATTAAGTGTTATCAACTTACTTGAGCCATCGACTACAGTTAGGTCTTCTAATGGAGCATGGATCTTCGGCAGCGATTCTCTAGCACCAAATGTTAGTAGATGTTGACGATATAATCTGAAATTACGAAATAATTTATTACTAACATATAAGATTTAACAGATATCCTATGTCTATCTGCATGAAATTTCCTTTACTAATTGTGATATTGTACATTGTTTATGATCACGTAGGGATCACTAAAATGTTTGTGTGGCAAATTTCAAAACGTTTACTGTTTCAAAACTGTTTATTTTAATTGGTTATTCAATATATATGGGATACGCACACAACTCGTAGGCTCAACTATTAATTCAATAATTAAAATTTGCACAACTGTGACCATCGGAGAGAAGAACACCGTGTGCCTACACTTGTAATATTTCTGTCAACCCTCAAGATCTTCCCATTAGTTTACTTCTCCTCTCTTCAAATTGAATGTAAAATTAGTCGACGTTCCGACTCTGCGTCGAATGTACGCGTCGCTAATAAGCCAAGTAGCACACTACCAAATAAACTTCTTAATGTACAATAAATAGTACAAATAAATTATACATATATAACGCTACAATGGTGAGGTGACAACCACCACGCTAAAACCCTGCCTGGGTGTTAAATATTACCAAAGTTGGTATCACTGTCAATTAGGGATGGTCCCTAATGAGTATAGTGTAATTATGACACTCACCGGTGCGTCTTCAACACGTTCAGCCATGTCCGGAACACGTCCGGGGTTTTGGCCCGCAGGTGAAGTATAGACTACAGTGTAATAACTACGACACTCACCGGTGCGTCTTCAACACGTTCAGCCATGTCCGGAACACGTCCGGCGTCTTAGCCCGCAGATGAAGTATAGACTACAGTGTAATAACTACGACACTCACCGGTGCGTCTTCAACACGTTCAGCCATGTCCGGAACACGTCCAGCATCTTGGCCCGCAGGTGAAGTATAGACTACAGTGTAATAACTACGACACTCACCGGTGCGTCTTCAACACGTTCAGCCATGTCCGGAACACGTCCGGCGTCTTGGCCCGCAGGTGAAGTATAGACTACAGTGTAATAACTACGACACTCACCGGTGCGTCTTCAACGTATTCAGCCATGTCCGGAACACGTCCGGCGTCTTGGCCCGCAGGTGAAGTATAGACTACAGTGTAATAATTACGACACTCACCGGTGCGTCTTCAACGTATTCAGCCATGTCCGGAACACGTCCGGCGTCTTGGCCCGCAGGTGAAGTATAGACTACAGTGTAATAACTACGACACTCACCGGTGCGTCTTCAACGTATTCAGCCATGTCCGGAACACGTCCGGCGTCTTGGGCCGCAGGTGAAGTATAGACTACAGTGTAATAACTACGACACTCACCGGTGCGTCTTCAACACGTTCAGCCATGTCCGTAACACGTCCAGCGTCTTGGCGCGCAGGTGAAGTATAGACTACAGTGTAATAACTACGACACTCACCGGTGCGTCTTCAACACGTTCAGCCATGTCCGGAACACGTCCGGCGTCTTAGCCCGCAGATGAAGTATAGACTACAGTGTAATAACTACGACACTCACCGGTGCGTCTTCAACACGTTCAGCCATGTCCGGAACACAACCGGCGTCTTGGCCCGCGGGATGAAGTATAGACTACGGTGTAATAACTACGACACTCACCGGTGCGTCTTCAACACGTTCAGTCATGTCCGGAACACGTCCGGCGTCTTGGGCCGCAGGTGAAGTATAGACTACAGTGTAATAACTACGACACTCACCGGTGCGTCTTCAACACGTTCAGCCATGTCCGGAACACGTCCGGGGTCTTCGCCCGCAGGTGGTATATGAATTCGTCCGCGTCTATGTCGATGCGTCGCCGGCCTGCCTTCGCCGATATCACCGACAGGCCGACGTCGACCGAGCCGTGGAGGCGGCCGCGGGAGATGTCTGTTGATGACCGAGCGTACACCAAGATGCCGCCGTCTATCACGAAGTACCTCTGCAAAATACACAATATCTGCCTTTACACGACACATTCTTTCACGTGCCATCTGGGCGCTCCTCAGATCGATCCCCTGTCCAATTCAAACGGGGATCGAAATTACGACGGCCTGAGCCGAGGTTCCAACCCTCAGCGGTGCAATCAGACTAAAGTCGTATCCGTAAGGCGGGAGTTGGCCTTCAGCAGATTCATAAGTCTTCTGCGCGTTTGGAGTGCCATCTGCACTCGCCCCCTATCGTCCGGTGTAGCTGTAAAGGCCAGCTGCGGCCAACAGCATTAGAGTAGTCCGAATAAAATAAAATGAAAGCGCGGTCGCATTTTACTATTTTATGTGTTCACTCTTTTGCGCTACCACGCGTAAAAGAGTGAACTGAGCATATGTTTCAAGTCATTTCACTTTCTTTTAAAATTTTATTTTCTAAAGACGAAATTAAATGTAGAGTTAAAATAAATATATATTCCTAAGATAAAAGTATCTTAAGTAAACCTTAACATTAGCTACCTGCGAGTAAAATTACAGTTAAAATTGGTCCCTACGTTTCAGAGATTAGCAAGTACAAACAAACAGACAGACAAAATTTTCTTAAACTATTTTGTATATGTAAGTATCATATATAGGTAATTTCATATATGTTGAAAATCTGTTAATAATTTTATTTTTTTGTATATATGTAGTACGAACCTTGTGCCACCCTTTGAGAGGCCACTTGCGTTTCTTGTGCAAGTAACCGTTGAACGTGTCAGGCTTCTTATCGAACCGCTGTCCATCCTTCAGACCTTCAAGCACCTCCCATTCGCTGCCGCGTCTACGTCTAATGGTGGAAAAGAGACAGAATATATTCACTACACTGAATTTATAGATTCAACTGGATCGCAGAGAAAAAGGTTAATACAAAAAATTGTGAAAAAGAGACAAAATATATTGAACTGAATTTATATTCTCAACTGGACTGTAGAGTCATAAGCGACTAAAATGTCCTACATGAATTAATTTAGATTTCTTTTGATTAGAGATAAGTGACAATATTTTTTTATATATGAATGTGGATGGTTTAACATTAATAAAAAAAATATGGTTTCAAGGGCAGAGGTATGCCGAGAAAGAAATAGATGAACTGTGTGACAGATGATATGGCAAGAAAGGTAGTGAATAACGAGATGACTGCGAACAGGGATGAATGGACGAGAAAAACACTTTTTTTCCGACTACGCTAATGCTATCTGGCCTTTACAGCTTCACCGGACGATAGGGCAGATGACACTCCAAACCCGCGGAAAGACTTATGGAACGGCAGAAGGCCAACTCCCGTCTGAAGGATACGACTTTATCTGAGGACACCGCTAGGGGTTTGAACTTCAGATCAGGCTGTGATCCCCGTTTGAATTGAACGGGGAAAAGATCGGAGGGGAAAAACACATTTGTCGATCCCTAATGAAAGGAATAAAAAAGCAGATGATGATGAGAATATGATAATATGTTGGTAAACCTTCGTAAGTCTACTTTGTGAAAAAATTAAGGATGCAAATCTAAATATATATAACTCAAAGGTGACTGACTAGTGATCTATCAACGCACAGCCCAAACCACTGGACGGATCGGGCTGAAATTTGGTATGCAGGTAGATGTTATGACGTAGGCATCCGCAAATAAAGGATTTTGATAAATTCCACCTCTAAGGGGATAAATTAACGCGAGCGAAGCCGCTGGCAAAAGCTAGTATCTAATAATTTCGAACATACGTTTTCGTTCGTGATCGAGCCCTATTTCAGAAATTACAAACAAACACACTGTCACTCCCGACAGGGGAGCAAGAAGCAGTGGCTGATGTTGATGTTCTGGTGAACGCAGCGTTTAACATGTATATACATCTTTTAGCAATATTTAAATTGGTAGAATGTAACGCTACCTCGCCACTCCGGCGCTCGTAAGTACACCGTGCTTGCGGTTTATTAGTGGATATAGATCCCACACATACCGCCGTGCTCCCTCCGATTTTTTCACACAATATATAAAAAGGTACTATACCCTCGCGATTTCCCGCTGCGTGCAGGTGGTGGCGCGGACCGGATGGCGCGGTCGCCGCTGTCGGTCGACAGTGCCGTCTCTCCTGAACCGTCCGAGTCTGACGGAGCCCTACGTAGAGCCGTCGGTCTCCCGGCAGCACCGCGTCGACGTTCCCCTGTAAAGTATTTTTTTTAACAATTCATACAGTGACATATAGTCTCAAACTAAGACGAGCATGTACTAAACAACTAATAGATTTACACTTCCATTTTATTTACTTGTATATGTCACTAGCTGTGCCCGCGACTTCGTTCGCGTGGTTAACAGAAGTCCTCAAATATCAATAATTTTCTCCGTTTTTGCAACATTTTTCATTGATGTTTCGCTTCTATTGGTCGTAATGTTAATTGTTAATTTAATGCGTACGCGTAATGTTATATTCCCTAAAGCTTTCCTCGACAAATGGACTATCCAACACAAAAATAACTTTTCAATTCGAACCAGTAGTTCCTGAGATTAGCGCGTTAAAACAAACACTCTTTCAAACGAACCCGCGTCCATTGGAAGCCTTTATTATAATATAGTTAAAAACCGTATGTCTTTGTGTACGTATTCGACACATGCCAAATTTGGCCGAGCGTGCCACACCGGTAGACTAACGTTGGTGTTGCCAATTTTTTTAGCTAATGCACGGGATATTCTTTTAATGTTAGACATAAACAACTACATATGTAAGTAGAGTGTCTTTTTAAAAAAGAAACAGAAATTCAGTTGAGTTTCTTGCCAGTTCTTCTCAATTGAATCTGTACACTGAACTGGACGGTAGTGAAAGAATATTAATACAAAAAATTTGATGTTCATAAATGGCTAAAATGCACTATATGAATAAATGATTTTTTACTTGATTTGATTCAAATAAACTAAATATAAGCTAAAAAATATTTGAATAGTCATATTTTTTATTCTACCACTCATTCTCTCGTTGAGAAGACACTCTCATTCGGAACGTAGACTTGTCTCAAGAAGATTGTTGAGAAACTCTTTTGATATTAATATATTTAAAGTTTTCTTGTATTCTTTAATTAAAATTATAAATTGTCACTTTGTTATTGTTGTTATTGAATTGTGTGTAAGATGATATGGCGAGAAAGCGAGTAAATAACGGGATGACTGCGAACAGGGATGAATGGAAGAGAAAAACATTACGACGACAACAAATAAATGGGATAAGGAATGATGAAGATGATGATGCAGGTGATGATGAAATTTATAAATTGTCACTTCACTCTCTACCATTAAATACATTTTTCCAACCATAAATAGTTTTACTACATATTTCTTCAACAAAGAAAGACCAAGAAACTTGCGTGTTGTTATTTTGAATTAATATTGTTTAAAAAAGAATCAATTTACTGAACTGGATGGTAGTGATACAATATTAAAACAAAGAATTTGAGGTTCATAAATGGTTAAAATCTACAGGAATATATGATTTCCGACTTGATGTGATTTGAATCAAATAAACTTAATATAAGCACTTTTGAATAATTATATTTATTTTTTTCCAAAAATTCATTCGGAACGCAGACTTGTCACAAGAAGAAATACCAAGAAACTTGTGTGTAGTTGTTTTGAATTAATTTTGTTTAAAAAGGTATTAATTTACTGAACTGGACGGTAGTGAAAGAATATTAAAACAAAGAATTTAAAGTTCATAAACGGCTAAAATCTACAGAAATAAATGATTTCTTACTTAATCTAATTTGATTCAACTTAGTATAAGCATATTTGAATAGTCATATTTTTTATTCTACCACTCATTCGGAACGCAGACTCGTCACAAGAAAGACGAAGAAATTTGTTCTGATCGTTTGCTTTCTTTTGATTTATATGAAATCTGATTTTGGATTATATTAAGATAGTATATCATATTTTTGATATAGGTCCATTAGGTGAAATGTATATATGTTGTTATCTGTATTTCTATCACCGGAAATACATTCAGAAATTTAAAGTGACACACAAATAATTATACCTACTGAAAAAACCAAAATGTAACGATATGATGGTGGGAAAAGGGATTGTTAGTAATGTGGACTAATAACCACATTGTTACCTTACTACCTCCACGTGGTTCGCCCTGGAAACTATTGTGATAAATTCCTTGTGAATTTACCACGATGGGCTTACTAACCTGACCTCATGTTCATCTTATCATCCTCCACTGCCCCGCCAGCGTAAACCGTTAGTGCAGGCGGGTAGGTAGGTATGGTATATGATAGGTCTGTATTTCATATTGTAATTTATCCAAAGTTTTTAATATGTATCGCATTTCTGATTTATTTTTTTATCTGTCATAAATACATACAATCCTAAATTTTCACCCTTCTATCATCAACCTCTGTTTTTTTATAGCGTTATTAATTTATATGGCAAAACAACGTTTGCCGGGACAGCTACTATATATATATATAAATTGTAAATAGATATCATCATTGTCTTGCCTTTATCCCATTATTTGGGGTCGGCGCAGTATGTCATTCTCTTCCACTGCTCTCTATCGGTCGTCATATCTAAACATACTCTTCTTTTATTCATACCATCTTTCACACAATCCATCCATAGGTATATTTTTAAAAATAATTGAGTTCTTTTACAATAGAAACTTACGAAAAATCTTATTAATATTATTAACCCGAAAGTTTGTGAGCGTGGATGGATGTTTGTTACTCTTTCACGCAAATGTTGTTGAAACTTTACAGTAATATAACTATATATTTACACATCAGAATAACATATAGGCTACAAGTTTCGAGGTTGACTGGTAGAGAATGCCATCAGGCATTAAGTCCGCCATGTATACAATTTTGTGTGCAAAAGAATAAATAAATAAATAAATTTCATGCGGATGAAACCGCGGTCACAGCTAGTTAATTATAATAGTTAAAATAACGCACTCTATTTTTTTTACATTCATTCTAATTTTATTTTGGGGTCGCTTAGATTTGAACTGTAGTCCGCTTGGATGTAACTCAGGGTAGTAAGCTACTAAGCCAGAACCCTCACAATTTCGGACATATTTAATTTCCTGTACTCTGCATAGAATTTGATACCTATTCAATTATATTCATCTATTGTACATTTGATAGAATTTATCTATGTATCTCTCGGATTAATTAGGATTATGAATAATTGTAATAATACAATAATGTATACAGATAATCAAATTACAATAAAAGTGCATTAAAAGCGTTTTACAAAAGGCGATCTTATCGCATAAGCAATCTCTTACAAGCAACCTTGTGTTGACAAAGACTTTTTACGTAAAGAGAGTAGGTAAGAGACACTGGATACTATATTTATTATACACTTACAGATAAACATATATTTTATGAGCATTGTTAAAACCTACACGAGGATTTCAGAGATGTTTGATACATTTAAAATGATTTTTCATTACATAGTATAAAACAAAGTCGCTGTCGCTGTCTGTCCGTCCCTATGTATGCTTAAATCTTAACTACGCAACGGATTTTGAAGCGGTTTTTTTCAGTAGATAGAGTGCTTCAAGAGGAAGGCTTATATATATAATACAAGTACACCCGTGCGAAACCGGGACGAGTAGCTAGTATTGAATAAAAATGCAATGTTTCGATAATCTCTGTTAATTTGAATTTGTTCTTTTTTTAGGTTTTTTAATAACTAATACATATTATATACTAGTTGAGCCCGCAAACGTTGTTTTGCCATATAAATTAAAATCCCATCAAAAACATAAATGTGAAATGATAGCCGAGTTTAATATTATGATATATGCCTTGATTGTTGACTTCTACGACAAAAGAGGTGAGATCTAAATGGGTGCCAAGTTCAATGGTCTGTCCTGAAATGTATTTATAACAATATATAATATCATTTCTTCTTATAACTTAGGATAATATACTGTAGCCTAATGACGTTAATAACGATATTTGGACATTAATATCTAAATAACCGTTTGAGATATGTTTATGAAATTTGGAACACATATTTATCTCGCAAGTCTCAATATATGAACCAAATTTGACAGGTTTATGTGAAAGAGTTTCTGAGTTATGAGGGGGTCAAAAGTGGCTCCAAATGGTTCGTGTAAATATACACACGGTGCTGCTCGCCAGTTCTCTTACTTGAAACTCGGCTTGACACGCTACCGCGTGTCTAGATCGCTATTAAAAATAGGGGTTGGTGATAAAAGGCTAAGAATTTAGGGTGGTATGTATTATTTAATGACACATTAAAACAAAACTTAAAAAATAAATGTCCCAAAAATCAAAATATATGTTAGGGGTGGATAACCCTTATCTTCTTTCTTTCTTTCATCCATACTCACAAACTTTAGCATTTATAATATTATTAAGATATGTGGCGAGACTTATGGCTTGTTTTTTAAATCCCGGGGACTAAATTGACAATGACCCAACATGGAAGTGCATGAGTACCACTCGGGTCTCGCGATAAAGTGATACCCCCGATGCTGTCCATGTATATAAGTCACGGTTACCACTTACCATCAGGTAGACCGTCAGCTTGTTTGCCATTCCAAGTACATAAAAATTTATGAGTAATGAGCATAATGAAGTCGGAATTTGTGTGGCTCAAAATTGTTCCTTCAGCAGTTAATTGGTGGAGGATGATTGCCATAAAATGGGATGATAATGGAATAGTCCACCCGCCTGCACTCACAGTTTACACAATTTCAGATGATAAGATAAGCATGATCGTCACTTTATAGCTGAATATCTCCCCCTCCCTTAAAACTGTCTTTATAGCAGTTTTGAGGGGATGGATCAGTTGGGCCGTTAACTTGATAGATCAATACTTTATTTGCAACATACAGTAACGAAGAGACAACCAATATATCAAAGGACATGTATCGTTACAATAAGGCGGTCTTATTGCTGAAAGCAATCTTTTCAAAACAACCTTAGGACGCAAACGGATTGAAATATCGAACAGGTAGGTAACATGCAAGCAGAAGAAATCTTTAGACGACCACAGTGGAGTCTGAATCCGAATGGCTAGAATGTCTTTTTTTTGAGGACTACTCTAATGCTGTTGGCCGTAGCTGGCCTTTACAGCTTCACCGGACGTTAGGGGCGAGACCAATATATCAAAGGCTGAAGGACTTATGGAGCGGCTAAGAACCAATCTTTTCAAAACCGCCTGACGGATACGACTTGAAATATCGAGGGCACCACTAGGGGTTTGAACCTCGGCTCAGCAGTAATTTCAATCGTTTGAATTGGACGGGGGATCGATCGGAGGGGTGGCTAGAATGACAGTTTATGGGTATATTTAAGAGAGGGGTCGGGGGGACAGGTGGGGGATATTCAGCTATAAGCAACTAAGGGGTAAACTGATAAAAAACCCCAAGTGATCATTGGCCAGAGTTCCGGTCCGTAGTCTTCCGGTCTTTTCAATCCAAAGGTCGAGGGAAAGGTATGTTTGGCATTTTATATCGGATTTATAATTATCGTAGATAATTGGCAGAGTTGATTGATTGCTATACATATCTATATCGATAGTAGATTTGGACGCGTCGTCTTTTATACCGTTCCTTCTACATCTACAATACTATTTTTCAGGATTGTTAGGGACTATTTCTTTTTAATCTAAATATATATAACTCAAAGGTGACTGACGTAGTGATCTATCAACGCACAGCCCAAACCACTGGACGGATCGGGCTGAAATATGACATGCAGGTAGATGTTATGACGTAGGCATCCGCTAAAACTGTCAATTTTAAACCGATCGGGCTGAGACTTTACATGTATAAAGCTACTATGACGTAGGCATCCCCTAAGAAAGGATTTTGATAAATTCCACACCTAAGGGGATAAATTAACGCGAGCGAAGCCGCAGGCAAAAGCTAGTTGAATATATATAATAAAATAAAATAGAAAATCGTTTATTCAAATAAATTTAATTTAAGCACTTTTAAATAGTCATAACAAAGTTTTCTTTTTAATCTACCGCTCATTCAGAAAGCTGTTTCATCACAAGAAGAACGAGCAAGAAACTTGTGTGTTGCTCTTTTAAATAATCTTTGTAAGTTCACATTAAACAATTCGAAACGTGTGAATACAAACTACCAACCAAAACTAATTAGGGTTAAATATAAATACACAATAAGATTAAATCAGTCGTATGATAAGAGCAGTCCAGTCGCTACAAGCAGCACCCGTCCACGAGTATGACGGATGATCCAGCCATCATTGCACTCAACCATATTAGAGGGAGCACATTGACCGCCGCTTGGTTATATATAATATTACAAATGTGAAAGTAAGGATGTTTGTTACGCTTTCACGCATAAACTCCTAAACCGATTATCATGAAATTTTGGACACCTGTTCTTGGAGGTATTAGAATGTACATAGGATTTTTTGAGATGAGAACTTTTTATAAAAAAAAAACAAATATTTTTTATTTAATCCGAGCGAAGTTGCGGGGAAAAGCTAGTATATAATAATCAGGGATGTTAGAGACATCCGCAACCGTAACCGAAACTATCGGATATCCGATATAGAAAAATATTCGTCACCGTAACCGAATCCAAAATAAAAGTTTCGGATAATATCGGATAGGGACGGAGCCTAATAGAGACACGTCATGTAACCATTTTATTAGCTATTTGTAATTTACATTTGATATTCCTTAAAAAAATAATCGAAATTATCCGAAACTAACGGATAATCCAAAATAATTTCATATCCGGTATAATAATCATTCCTATATCCGAAACCTATCCGTATCCGAAATTTCATATCCACAACATCCCTGGTAGTAATGATATACTCACGTTTGCTGTCGAGGCGTGATTCGGTGGCTGCATTCTTCAACCCGCCGTGGTTCATATCGTCGTTACGTGAGCCTATAATCCATGTTATATCACCTGCAAATAGCAAAAACAAACTTTATTTATGATGGTAACAGGGTCTTAAGATGACCCAGAACCGAGTTCTCTGGTACAAATATACAGCGACATCCGACCCCAGATATACGGTATACTAAATAATCCTGGACAATTAACACCGCGCCATCTAGTCCCACTGTAAGCAGAGCTTGTGTTGTGTACTAGACAACTGATATAAATACTTAGACATTTTTTTCTGAATACATACATAATACACATAAAATACAGAGCCGATACAAACAATGATACTCATGAATATAAATATTTTGCAACGTGTGAGGAATCGAACCCGCGACCATCGAAAGTAAACCTTATTTATAGCTATAATAGCTTTATTTATACTGTTAACAGAGTCTTACGACGACCCAGAACAGAGTTCTCTGGCACAAATATACTGAGACCCGACCCCAGATAAACTGTAACATGGGCTGGACAAAACTTAATTACTGATAAAATGTGGTTATTAACGGTTAGTTATCCGACTACGACAAGAAAGAGTAAAATGCAATAATTTTATTGCGTAGCTTTTTTTTTCCATATAGGAATATATTTCTCTGGATGATGAAACAGCTACATCCTCTGGAATTCTATAATATTTTTCGTACGTATCCATTAAAATATTCATTCAGGTGTGATAATTAGAATTGAGGGCTTGTTTTTGTAGTTCCTAGTCGAGCCTTCTTTTATAAAGTCAATTTGCCTTTTGTTAGTGGTAAATTTTTTCGGGCTCACCTACTGAAAGTACCAAGCATGCGGTTAATTAACCGTTAATAACGAAAAATGCATTTTTAACCGCTTGGTTATAATCGTTAACAACCGGCTGCGCATCTATAGTCTTAACACGATTAATTTTATGGTTTACCTCTCGAATTTTCGACTAGGTCGCATTAGCCGTGGTCACGTGCTGACTCTCTCGACGTTTCCCCCGAGAGAGATAAAAACTACCTTTGTCTTATTAATATTGTAAACGCCAAAGTTTGTGAGTATACATGTGTAGTAAGTTATTCTTTCACTCAAAAACTACTAAACGGATTTTCACGATAAACTTTACAGTAATATTATACATCAAAATAACACATCATTACATAGTATAAAACAAAGTCGCTGTCGCTGTCTGTCCGTCCCTATGTATGCTTAAATCTTTAAAACTACGCAACGGATTATGAAGCGGTTTTTTTAATAGATAGAGTGATTTTTTTTTGGACTTTTCTAATGCTGTTGGCTGCAGCTGGCCTTTACAGCTTCACCGGACGATAGGGGGCGAGTGCAGATGGAACGCCAAACCTGCGGAAGGACTTACGGAGCGACTGAAGGCCAACTCCCGACTTTAGTCTGAGGCCACCACTAGGGGATCGAACCTCGGCTCAGGCCGTCGTAACTTCGGTCCCCGTTTGAATTGGACGGGGAATCGATCGGAGGGGAGATAGTGATTCAAGAGGAAGGTTTATATATATAATACATGTACATCTGTGCGAAGCCGGGGCGAGTAGCTGGTAATGTTAAACGCGAAAGTTTGTGAGTATAAATATTTCAGTTAGTTACTCTTTCACTCAAAAACTACTGAAATGATTTTGACGGGAAACTTTAGCGTGATCATATCGATCGAAACAACACATGGGCTATAATTTAAAAATGTAATATATAAATTGGGCGAAATATAATGATAAATGTCAAGGAACTGTAATGCAGACCAAGTTGCATGGGTCAGCTATTTTACCATAAAATTATTCGTGTTAAGACCCGGTAATAAATAACGTGGACTAATCACGAAAGTTTAAAAATGGTAAAGCTTCAGATACTGCCCGAGGTATACTGCCGTATACCAGTACCTATTTTAGCAGCCAAGCAGCTTGCTTTGTAGGTTGTCACGGTTGTAGGATGAAATATATACTAATATTAGCTGTACATGCGATTTCGTCCGCGTGGAATTTAACGTTATTTGTATAAAATAAAAGTAGCCTAAGATACTCCTTATTACATCAGCTACCTGACAAAAAAAGTCCCGTCAAAATCGAACCAGCCATTTCAGAGATCAGCCGGAACAAGCAGGCCGACAGATAGATTTTGGTGTATGTACCGTATATTCATATGCATGTAGTAAAAAACTCTTATTTCAATATTACAAACAGTCTAATTTTATTTATATGTATAGATTCCAGAAACCTCTCATCATGGTAGCATCTTCCATTAGTGTCCTGCCATTTGATATATAGATAGAAAAATGCTATATTCAACAATTACAAACACATAGCATAGATGAGATACATTTTATAAATATAAATAAAGTTCACAAATTAAAAATGTAGGACTATAAATATTACGAATTAAAAAATGGAGGTGGCTTTATGTGTCGCAATGATGAAGAGGCAACCGACTCAGCATGAAGCTACAGATAAGTCTGCAGCGCTGATATACTGTTGGCTCCTATAATTAAATACATACTTACATACATATATATATACGTGAATGTTTATTTGAAACGAAAGGAGAGCGCTGGCGGTGAGGGCGAATATGATAGTGCACAGATTTGCGCGGTGCTCTAAGGATGTCAACAGCGGGCTTCGCGTTCAGTATAACAACGCATTCAGGGTTTTGATGGGGCTGTCGCGATTCTGTAGTGTATCAGGGATGTTCGCGGAGTACCGTGTCGATTGTTTTTATGCTACAATGCGGAAAATGCGCATCTCTGGTGCGGAGAGTACGTGCCAGTACCGACAGCATCCTGAGCATGATTGCGGGCAGGCTGGACTGTGCGTATGTTAATCAACCAATGGAATGGTACAGCGGTGATTTTCATATTTATATATGTGAATGTATTTTAATTTAATTTAATATTAATTATTGATATTATTTGTATTTTATTTTTGTGTGTGTATTTTGTGTCTGTACGTACTAACATTAATTATAAGAAATTATGCATATGCCTGTGTGTGAATGTTGCACCAGCTACCCTAACGATTTGTGATGAAGGGGTACCAGTGGAGGATGATAAGATGAGCATGAAGTCAGGTTAGTCATCCCATCAAGACGAATTCAGCAGTAATATCACAATGATTTCCAGGAGGAACCATGTGGATACCAACTTGACATTTTTTTTTATTTATGTGGTTATATATTGGATCTCCTTTCAATACAGCGGCTGCGCTATCGGTGTACGCTCGCTAGTATATGGAGTGAAACGCAAATTAATAATTTTGTTACATTTTTTCTGGGAAGACGACATGCAGCGCAATTATACTTAGTAAAGTATATAGGACTACCAACCACTGACCATCAGTTACTCAAACTTGGTTTATGTCTGATTAATTTTTTTTAATTCGCTAATGATATATTGTATATCTGCTATAAACGTGTTTGTTTTGGTTTCGTTACTTTTAATTTCTTCTAGGCTATAGAGGTCTTTTATATTTAACATTCGGATCAACCTGACATATTGTGCATTAGGATTATAATAGCTATGGGGTTATAAGTCACATTACTGACAAATAAGGAGATTAGTTAGTAATGGGACTTATATATAAGGTTACATTTAAACCCATAATTAATTATAATAATAATTTCAGGACAATTCACACAGCGCCATCTAGACCCAAGTTAAGCTAGCTAAAGCTTGTGTAATGGGTTAACTAGATAACTGATACAAATACATAGACATATATTTTTTCGTAAACAACAACACCAATACAAACAATCATTCTCATGAATACAAATGTTTGTGCCGTGCGAGGAATCGAAACCGCGACCATCGGAAGTAAGGCTGTGCTAAACCGCTAGACCACCGAGGCCGTCAAGAACCGTCAATTAAGATGGTTCTTAGCTAAAATTTTTTTGAGCTTCTTTTTGATTCGGTTGTTATATGAAACATCTATATCCAAATATATATAACTCAAAGGTGACTGACATAGTGATCTATCAACGCACAGCTCAAAACAATGGACGGATCGTGCTGAAATGTGGCATGCAGATAGATGTTTATGACGTAGGCATCCGCTAAGAAACGATTTTGATTAGAATTAATCAAACCCCCAAGGGGATAAAATAAGGGATGAAAGTTTGTATTTGTCAATTTTAAACCGATCGGGCTGAGACTGCATGCATAAAGCTACTATGACATAGGCACCCCCTAAGAAAAGATTTTGATAAATTCTACCCCAAAGGGGATAAATTAACGCGAGCGAAGCCGCGGGCAAAAGCTAGTAAGAAAATACAATTGAAAGGGTTTACTCATATATAATAACTGGCAACAATCATTTACATATTAATGATATAACAAAATTCCAGCGCTACATTATCAATTACTGATTAATAATAATTGATTAGAATAAAATAAATAATAATAACATGCCCAATGTACTGATTACCGCATGTTTGATTGTACGATGTCTTTACGGGAGGTACTATGATTGTCGCGTACAAGCAGTAACTAAACGCAACACAAAAGGAGCGTTCTGATTGGAGCGCACACCCATCCAATTTGAATTCGCTACATAACGAAACAGACTTAAAATATCAACCGATCGATCTAACGTACTTTTGTTCACTCCACCAAAATTGTAATTAATAGTATATTTACCATTAAATTTAAGATAGTAAGCAAATTATATCATTTTCAACAACCCTGTACCAGAGTCTAGAGTAGTAGAGTCTACCAGAGACTGTTATAAATCTGCCAGAAAAAAGATTTAAATGTCAAATAAAACAGTTCCTTTGCAAAAAAAGCTTACTATAAAATTTAAGAATTCGTTAACGATAATAATGATTACACTAATAATGAGTGCGTAGCGACTTCCATGTTGATTATCGCATGTCTCTTACTTGTTATACTGTAATTATTTATATAAAAAAACATCTATTAAAAAGAGCAACACACAAATTTCTTGCTCATTCTTCTTGTGATGAATCTGCATTCCGAATGAGTGGTAGAATCAAAATATGACTATTCAAAAGTGCTTGTAATGAGTTTATTTGAATAAAGATTATTTCTATTTCTATTTCCTGTAATCTGCTGTAGCCATCAACACCTACCATCTATCATTCGAGCCGCAACATCATCTACCATCTGAGCATTCCAGCCGCATCATCACGTATCAATGATTAATACATTTTTTTTTAAACTACATACATAATATATACCTACATACATAGTAGACACCCAAATCGATACAAACAACAGAGAAATTCAACCCCAATTTAGTTATTTTATGACTTAGCCTTTTATTATTTTATTTATAAATTAAGATAGAAATTCAAATTCAAAATCATTATTCATGTAGGACATTTTAGCCGCTTATGAACGTCAAATTTTTACACTATAATTTTAATTTTTTCCCTACCGTCCAGTTCGGTATATAGATCCAATTGAGAAGAACTGGCAAGAAACTCAATTGAATTACTTTTCTTTTCAAAAGCCAGTTTATTTACAATGTATATTTATATATGTGTCTATGTCTAACATTAAATAAAAATCCTGTGCAGGAACAACTATTGCCATGCACGCTCGTCATTCAACTAATCGTTTAGTGAGTAATAGGCTTTGCTCAGTAGATATGATTTAACAGATTTAACAGAGAAACAATCACATATCAGTTAATTTCCTGAGTCAAGGACTCTTGATTGTATTTACCAGTGGGTTGGACCCTACGTTGATACATCAATCAATGAGAATAACAGATCTCTCTGTCATTCAGAAATTGTAAACAATAATCTTTATATATAAAAATTACGTATCACGTTGTTTGTCCGCGATGAACTCCTAAACTACTGAACCGATTGCAAATTGGATTTGCACATTGCGTGCAATTTGATCCAAGTTGAAAGGTAGGATAGCTTACATCTCAATTTATAGTCGCAATATTATTTTATTTCAAATTATTTTTATATATAAAGAAACTGTTAGCCACAGCAACGCGTGGTCGATCCGTCCCTATGTAAGTTTTTTTCTAAAATAAAAGTAGTCTAAGTTACTCCGTATTACATCAGCTACCTGCCAATAAAAGTCCCGTCAAAATCGGTCCAGCCAATTCAGAGATTAGCCGGAACAAACAGACAAACAGACAAAAATTGTAAAAAATGTTATTTTTGGTGTACCTATATACCGTATTTATATTTATATGCATGTAGTAAAAATCAGTTATTTCAATATTACAAACAGACCCACCAATTTAATTTATATGTTTAGATGTTTAGATGGATCAGAATTTTTCTTCTAAAATCAATGTGTCTAATAAATAAATCGTTGGAATAAAAATAATAATAGATTTTAAGTAAATCTTATCACAATACACTAGGGAAAACCATATTCAAAAAGGTCGCTATTTCCGAGATTGACGCATACAAACAGCAGACAAACTGACAAAAAATATAACTACAAACTGACCAAAACTCTACCAATCACTATTTTGGTTTCTATTACATCGAATAAGTCGTCTAATAATAGTTTTTCAAATATACCTTTTACGTACAGACAACCATCAGTTCATTTCTACATATAAATAATATTGGAGTGTCTGTTTGTAATATTGAAATAACCGTTTTTTACTACATGCATATGAATATAAATACGGTACATACACCAAAATAACATTATTACAATTTTTGTCTGTCTGTTTGTTCCGGCTAATCTCTGAAATGGCTAGACCGATTTTGATAGGACTTTTTTTGGCATGTAGCTGATGTAATAAGGTGTAACTTAGGCTACTTATAGTTTAGAAATTTAAAGTAAAATTCCACGTGGACGAAATTGCGAGTACAGCTAGTTATATATATATATATACTTTACATTTGTAGTACATACAGCACATACAGATATAACAAAGTATTTTTTATATATTTATCTGCTTTGAAGACGTTACATTATTCTTAGAAGTAAAAACATAGGAAATGCAGCTACATTTTATATGTAAATTAAAATTATTGTTAACACGCCCCGGCTTCTCACGGGTGTCCATGTATTATATATATAAACCTTCCTCTTGAATCACTCTATCTATTAAAAAAACCGCAAACTCCATTGCGTAGTTTTAAAGATTTAAGCATACATAGGGACGGACAGACAGCGACAGCGACTTTGTTTTATACTATGTAATGATACTTATGGTGCATCAGCGCAAATTAAGGTACACCATTTTAAGCGAGAATTTATTTAGAAGAGCAATGTATAAAATCAATAATAGCGTATAGATTTTTTAGAGATTTAAGCATACATAGGGACGGACAGACAGCGACTTCGTTATATACTATGTAATGATATGTTATTCTGTTGTATAAGATATATTACTGTGAAGTTTGATCATCCGTTCAGTAGTTTTAATGATTTAAGCATACATAGGGACGGACAGACAGCGACAGCGACATCGTTATATACTATGTAATGATATGTTATTCTGATGTATAAGATATATTACTGTGAAGTTTGATCATCCGTTCAGTAGTTTTAATGATTTAAGCATACACAGGGACGGACAGACAGCGACAGCGACTTTGTTTTATACTATGTAGTGATATTAAATTTTCTATAATATTTACATACCTAGATTCGGCATGGACTTTGCATTCTTGTTCCTTGCCTTCAACATTTTGAAATTTCTCTATATATATATTATATGAAACACTTCAAAACACATTCCCCACTAAACTAACAATAAACAAATTGTTTAACAAACACATTATACACTGTCAGTCTTGAGCAGCGACGTTGGAACCAACGAATTTGACATGAATGTAAAATCCATATAAATATACGTCCAACACATCAA